TTGAATGCTTTTATAACTGAAACAAGTATTGTTAGATTACTTGAAATTACTCATATTCGCGAAAGACCTCGTAGCTAGTCATATATCTATAAAAAAGGATTGATTTGTGCAGAGAAAAAAATAGTATTATAACGTGCAAAGTGTAATATAAACAGGAAGCATAAATCGTTTTTCTGCAAGTTAAACGATTTTAAGTTTTTGTTACAAATAGAAAAATATGTTAATTTAATGACCAATTGATGCAATATTTTTATTAGCCATAGTAATAACAGCTAAATTTTTGGCTATATTTGAACATAAATGCCATGGGTTTTGGAGGTAAGAGAATAATTTATGTTATTGCTCTCAATTATATCATTATTGTTCAATTTTTTAATATCCAATTTTTGATACCCAAATATTCGCATTTTTATAAAATTTAGATATTTAATCTACATTTTATACAATCTATATTCTCTTTAGACATACATTATATAGTATCTGAATCGCATAGGATTGATATAAAAAATATAGTATTTTTGTACAGTATATTATTTTGCTTAATAGAGATTCTATAAATCTGACATTATATTTAAAATGTTTGTTTTTTTTAAGACGAAAGAAGTGACTCGGAAGAAGAACATGATAAATCTAGAAGCGCTACTCCAGATTCACAAAAATCAGGCAGTAATGTAGCAAGAAGCAGATCAAAATCAAATTCTGCTAGTCCCAAATCTTCAGCAGCTAGGTAACTAATTTTCATTATACTTGCTTGTTTTATTTTATCTTTATTTCCTTTTTTAATTATAACTAAATGTTTTAGATCTAATCTATCATCTCCGGCACGGAATGGATCACCAGCTTCTGTTCGTTCTAATGCCAGCTCTAGAAAATCTTATTCTAGATCACCATCCAGATCACCCTCGCCAAGCAGATCTATTTCACCATCAGGAAACAGAAAAAGTACATCAAGATCACGTTCTAAATCCCATTCTCCTGAACTTAGAGAGACAAGTGCAAGAAATGGTTCACAATCACCAGCGCATTCGCATCACTCTGGAAAATCAGGCTCAAGATCTCGAAGTTCTTCTCACTCTTCATCCAGAAGTTCTCGTGCAACATCAAGGAATAATTCACGTTCCAGATCTAGATCAAATTTAATAACACCTAATGACATTTCATCTAAATGTGATTCGCCCAAGAAAAACTTTCGATCATCTTCCAGATCTCCTTCGCCCCACGCAATTTCCAAATCGCGATCTCGTTCAAGATCATTTTCTCGATCGCGTTCTGGTTCTCCGAAAGTGTCGATTCATTCACGTTCTCGATCAGGTACTCCCAAGTCTTTCCAGACAAGATCCCGGTCAAGATCTAGATCAGCTAGTCCAAAAGAAGTCAAAACTGGCTCAAAATCGGGATCAAGATCTCCATCTGGATCGAAAAAGGGTTCCCGTTCACCTTCGGCATCGCCAAATCGATCGCCAATCACTGCTAGACAGTCACGATCAAGATCAAAGTCGCGCTCCGTGAACGGTTCCAGGGAGAGTTCTCCTGATTTAAGGAAAAGTTCCCGTTCTAGATCTCGTTCCAATTCAATAGACAGAAAATCTAGATCAAGATCTAAATCAAGATCTGCTTCTGGATCTAGGAAACAATCGAGATCACCGTTGCAAGAGGAACGAGCTTTATCGCGTTCGAAATCCAGATCCTTATCATGTTCGAGGAAAGGCTCGCGTTCAAGATCACGATCGAGATCTCACAAATCTGGATCGAGATGCAAATCGCGATCTATATCGGGATCACGTAAAGGTTCCGTATCTCCGGCATATTCGAGAAAAAATTCACGTTCTAGATCTAGATCCAGTTCACGGTCCAATAAATCTAAATCAAGATCTCGTTCAGTTTCAAGAGCCTCGCGTTCGAGATCTCGCTCGGGTTCCAGAAAATCTGCATCGAGATCAAGATCGCGATCTCGATCAAGATCAAAATCTGGCTCGAGATCGCGTTCAGGTTCGCGTTCGAGGTCAAGATCGGGATCAAGATCGAAGTCGCGATCACGGTCACGGTCGCGCTCGAGATCGAGATCGCATTCAAGATCAAGATCTGGATCGGCGGTTAGATCCAGACACTCATCGCGTTCTAAATCCCGATCTAGATCGAGATCTAGGTCTGGTTCCGGATCTAAAAAATCCAGAAGTCCCAGCAGAGATTCAGAGGGAGTAGCTAAAAAACGAAATAGAGTATTATCGGATTCTGAAGAGGAGACTGACGAAACTAGAACAAAGAAACGTACAAGGCATGAGTTATCTGATTCCGAGCATGAAGATGAAAACGAAAAGAAAAAAGACAATGACGCAAACGAGGAGCAAGTAGGTGAAGATCAAGAAAATAAACAATTACACAATGAAATAGTTAATGAGCAACAAGATAACGAAGATTCTGACGATGGAATTATTGGTGGAATGTGAGCATATGTCCGATTTTTATATAAATCTATATCTAAATTGTTTAGTTTTTATATAACAATATTTAAAAAATATATATCTTATATGCATATAAATTTAAGGTAAAAATTATAGTAGATAATTATTAGAAAGCATATTATTGTATAGTTTTTAAAAAATTAGATGTGCCTCATCTTTTTTATCAAACATGCATTTGCTTTTTCATAAAACATATATAGAAAATAATATATTATTATCATACACTTAGAAGATTTGAATTAAGTTGATATAACAAATATTTATAAGTAAAATATCTACATCTTGATATAGAAATTTTTTTCCAAAGTATTATGTAATTGTATTACACACACACACACACACAGGTGTTTAATGCATATGATAATCGAACAATTAATTTTAATTGTTTGTTAGTTTGTTAGTTTTATTCTAACATTTATTAGAAAAGTATCAAACATATAACTTTATAAATAATTTCGATATGTAAATAATGATGTGACAAAAGAAATACAGCTTATTTCCTAAGTTTTCATCATTAAAAGCAAAAAGTGAATGAAAACAAAAATACAGTCAAAAAAGATTCTAGAAATTTTATAAAAACAATGATTAATTATATTAAATTTGATGTTTTCAGGGATGATGCATTATCCGATTTTGATCGCATGTTGGCACGAAAAAAGGAAGAGCAATCCCGTAGGCGTAAACGAAAGGACATTGGTATCATTAATGATAACGATGATATTATAGCGCAACTATTATCAGACATGAAGGGTGCAGCTGAGGAGGATAGAAAATTAAATCAACAAAATAAACCTGCCACAAATAAGATTGCCATGTTATCGAAAGTATTGTCGCAATTGAAGAAGCACGATCTACAGTTGGCCTTTTTGGAGCACAATGTGCTGTCCGTTCTCACCGATTGGTTAGCACCAATGCCTGACCGTTCTTTACCGTCTCTCAAAATCAGAGACAATCTCCTGAAATTATTATGGGAGGTAAGATCATATAAGATAAATCTTTTTGTATTAGATAAAAAGAAATATTTTTAGAATATATACATATATTCCATTACTCATTTATTTATTTACTAATTATATATTACGCCTTTATAGTTTCCAAAAATCGATCAATCTTCGCTGAAGCAATCCGGTATTGGAAAGGCTGTGATGTATCTTTATAAGCACCCGAAAGAAACAAAAGAGAACAAGGAGCGTGCTGGAAAATTGATCAACGAGTGGGCACGGCCTATTTTTAATTTATCTGCCGATTTTAAGGCGCTATCGAAGGAGGAGAGAATGCAGAGGGATCTGGAGCAAACGCCTCAGAAAAGAAGAAAAATCGAAGAGGGAGGATCCTTCCAAAAATCACAAGATATTAATAAGGCCTTAAAAGGAGATGCCAAGTATGTTATCGTTGATATATAATAATTATTAATAACTGACATTAATTGATAGTTATTATGAGCTTTTCCTATCTTATATTCGCAGACCATTAAGACCGGGAGATCCTGGATGGGTTGGAAGAGCCAGAGTTCCTAGACCATCTAATAAGGATTACGTTATACGACCCGACTGGAAATCAGATATTGACATCAGCAGAGTATGTGTGCTCCTACTTATCTATTCTTTAGATTAAAAAGTTGTATACAATATTTAATATACAACACTGTACATATACATTAAAGCCTACAATTTTAATATTTATTCCAACAGATTTATAAGCACTCTATAATTACTATAAATCATAAACATAATTTAGATTGTATTTTTTTTATGACATTTCTGATGAAATTGTTCATTTTTGAGCTCATTTGTATAAAATATAATTTTTTTTGTTCGTATTGCATCCTAATTCTCAATTATTATTGATACCTCATACATAATTATAATGTCTTATTATTGATTCCTCATACATAATTATAATGTCTTATTACTTTGTGCAGAGTACTAAGAAACAGATGAGTCGGTTTGAGAGGCACATGAAGAATTACATAGATAGCAAACGTATGAAGTCTGCAAGAAGAGCAGTAGATATATCTATAGAGGGTCGTAAGATGTCTTTATAATATCTATACATATTTCTTATAGTTTATATAAGGAAATGAAATTTGTAACAATATTTGTTACTACCTAATTGTGATTATGCATGAAAAATTATAAAACCTAATCGATTTACTTCTTGCATATGTCTTTCCAACTATTATACCATTACCTGTTTATTTGTAGACATAGAAAGAATAGTTCATCTATACTTCACCTTGCAAAGAAAAAATCAATCACAGCCATTGTGCAATTTTATCTTAAAAGATGAGAAAAAGAAAATTTTGATTCTTATCAGATTGTTTCAGTTAATTTTTACAAAATGAGGAGATATATTGCTTCCGACTATTAATTGATAATATTATGTAATGTACTGTATTGTTTGCAGCTTCTCTGTATGTCTATATGATCAAATAAAAATGTAGTGTTTAAATTTATCCATTTCTTATTCTCCAACTGACTGATATAACAGTAAAATTAGAACATGTATAATGCATATATGATTGAATATATATGACAATAAATTATATCAAATTTTTATTTTCTTGCAGAATAATACACACTTAGTGTTACAATACAAAACATTATTGTAACATTGTTCATAATATTCACAGGAAGTAAGTGCGTGGTTGTCGCACACTGAATAGTGGCATACGGTTTCTTTGTTGGATTCGCTTAGGCAATGGGAATCTGATCTTAGAATCATGGAATTGTTTCACTTGAGGTCTGCGGCAATTTGCAGCCTTAACAACTTCCACTTTAATTATCTGTATGGAATGAGCTCGCGCGCGATGACGGGCGCCCATGTCCCTATAACACTGCGTTACAGCCCCACTAACAGAAAGATCCCTGTATTCCCTGTACATGTTATGTGTACCGGATCGTGAATCGTATCTTAGCCAAATTCCAAAATTTTTTATTTTTGCTGGTGTTTTCTCTGGAATCTAAAATAATTAGTTAGATTTAAAATCAGCCACAGATGTTATATTGTTAATAATAAAATGAACACAATATGTTTATGATGACACATTGAATATCATGAGATAGATACCTGCTTTAAAGATACTATTTCTCCAGTAGATTTTTTGAACTTTTTCAATTGACGCAAGAAGTACCAAAATCTGGATTTGGCCACTATAGCATCAGGAGCAAATATTCTCATTTTGTAAAGAGGAGTTGTTTTCTCTTTTTCGGTAGGAAGCTTACGTCCTATCACTTCGAATTCCTTCAACTAAAAGAGAAACCAAAATTATTATTTCTTGGTTTGATCTATTTATACTATGTCTAGGATTGATATATATATTTGTAGGTTATGTCGTGGCGAATATCCAGATTTAAATCTGCATTTTTTATTTTTACGTAAATTCTAAATAAACATTCGATACTTTAAATAAGAGAAAATCAATTTTTTATTTGTTCCTTATGTAAAATTTTCCAAAATCACTCACATCACCCTTGGCCTTCATCGTAACACGTGGTTTCGTACGTTGCGTGTCAGAAACCAAAAGGATAAACGGAAGAAGTAGAGACTGCCATCTTGTTGCACAAACCAATCTTCGCCTCTTGGATAGGTAGATAGGTAAATATTCAGCGCATTCAGTTTTGCTAAACACTAATGAAGGATTTACATTGCGTCCGACATCTGACATCCAATAAGAGGATTTATTTTCTAGGGACGAAAATGTTGTCAGTTGGAATGCACATTTTCTATTGGTGTTGACAAAGAATTACTATTCCTAGAATTCTTTACTACTTTCGTTCCGATTGGTCAATTGAGACATTCGCTGCACATGCGCGAAAGATTTGATCAGAAGCCTTCTCTCTCTTTCATTCACCTCAGTCAGCTGTCGAGCAGTCCCTCTTACATCTCTGTCTTTGATACTTTGATGTATCTCTTTTGATTTGTAATATACAATAATACTAAACGTACGACATGAAAGCCAAGGGCGAGGTGAGTTATTTTGGCAAATTTTACACAAGAAACAAGCAAAATCAATACCGCAAACTATCTATTCTTGTCTAAAGCATCAAATTTTTGTTTAAAATTTATGTAAAAATACAAACTGCAGGTTTAAATGTAGATATTCGATGTGACATAACCTAAAAATAAACATACATAGATGCTCGTATACATAATACGTATAATGCACATGCTAGTTTTATATAAATATATTTCATTAATAAATAAATAAATATCCCTAACATATAAACTAGGAAATAATTTTTAATTTAATTTTTTTTTAGTTGAAGGAATTTGAAGTGATAGGGCGTAAGCTCCCTACTGAAAAGGAGAAAACTACTCCTCTTTACAAAATGAGGATATTTGCGCCTGATGCTATAGTGGCCAAGTCCAGATTTTGGTATTTTCTCCGCCAATTAAAAAAATTCAAAAAATCAACTGGAGAAATAGTATCTTTAAAGCAGGTATCTATCTCATGATATTCAATGTGTCATCATAAACATATTGCATTCATTTTATTATTAACAGTATAATCCAACATTTGTGACTGATTTTAAACTAATTATTTTAGATTCCAGAAAAAACACCAGTAAAAATAAAAAATTTTGGAATTTGGTTAAGATATGATTCTCGATCCGGTACACATAATATGTACAGGGAATATAGAGATCTTTCTGTCAGTGGGGCTGTAACGCAGTGTTACAGGGACATGGGTGCCCGTCATCGCGCGCGTGCTCACTCCATACAGATAATCAAGGTGGAAGTTGTTAAGGCTACAAATTGCCGCAGACCTCAAGTAAAACAATTTCATGATTCTAAAATCAAATTTCCATTGCCCAAACGAATTCAAAATAGAAATCATATGCCATTATTCAGTGTGCGAAAACCACGCACCTATTTCCTGTGAATATTATGAATAGTGTTTTGTATTATGACACTAAATATATTATTCTATTCTATATATTATGGGAAATAAAAAAAGTAATATAATTGTTTGTTATTTTAATTTGTTTCCCTCACTCTTATTTTGTGTATACATTTGAGAGTAATATAACAAGAAAATATTGTAATAAATAAATATCGTAAATATAAGAATTTTAAAATATATAGTTTTTGTTTAAAAATTAAGATTTTTATACTAAATTTATACATATATATATAGCACATTTCTCTGAATGGATATGCACACACGAATAAATTTATATTCTCCTTTATCAAAGACATTTCTGTTGAAACAATATCAAATAAATAAATTTATCGGGCTGGGAAAGTATATAAATACCCTACACAGATACGACAATGTCGCTGCCATGAATGGGATGTTTACTTCGTACATGCCGCCTTAAATGCCCCCCTCACTCAGTCTAAATGAAGGTATACGCTTCCTTGAAAACGTCCTGATGTCAATCTAATGTCAAAATAACAATAATGACATTGATACTTACGTTATAAAATGAAATGTAATGTATAGTAACGATTGAGTCATTCATTGACAGACAACGGGTGCGTTCGGGGAGACGCTATTAGCGCTAACAGCGTCGTTCTATCTTTGTTACTTATTGAAAGTTGAACAAGGACAGAACACGCTCATAGCGCTAAAAATGTACTCCCCGAACGCAGCCAACATGGCACAAAATCATGACATGATCGCAAATATTCCTTGCGTGATATTCGATGAGGACTATAATGGGTTAATAGTTTGTGACAGCTATGTACCAACTGAATTACTGGCAGAAATCTTTTATCGCACCGATTATGGGACTGTATTGAATTGCCAATTGCTAAACATTGGAGGATGATGATACAGTAGTATTTCTGGTCAGTCTGGTATAAGAAGGCGGGTTTAACGCTACCGTTCCTATGAGAAGAGATATCTTGGCAAATATTCTATCTTATGTGTAAAACGAAACCACCGTTCGAGAAGAACCTGATGAAGAATTATTACAAAGATGGGTTGAGTAATAATTGATCCATTCTTCAGTGACGGCAGCAATCATTGGTCGGTCAAGAATTCGCCCATTGATATATTAGAATTATCTTTTTTTTTGGATCGAACCGCTATTTGTAGGAAAGTGTGATTTTACATCAAATCGCCACTATGATAAAAGAATTAATAAATAGTCTTGTGAATTGAATCATTTGATTGATCTAGAGGCCGAGAGATTTCCATCCATACAGAACCGAAAATAAGTTGGCGCTGGAAGTTCATATTTTTTAATAATCAACAGCTCAAACGATTGCTCCTGTAAGGTATAAATCTCCAAAATATTTCGAAGATTAATAATCGACTCTTCTTTACGTTAAGTCTAATTTATTTAATTGTCCTCTCGTATGAATACTTTCGAGAACACGTGGAGGTCGAGAGTATATATAGCTTATTCGAACTGGAACGAGCGTACCAAATACAAGTGTTCTAATAGCGTGTATAATACAATTATCGCAAAATACTATTTTAAACTGACTCGACTTCTAACTGTCTTAAAGACTTTCACTAAGCTCTCTCTGCGTTCGCTGAGCTACGTCGTATCTTTGTTACTTATTGAAAGTTGAACAAGGACAGAACACGCTCATAGCGCTAAAAATGTACTCCCCGAACGCAGCCAACATGGCACAAAATCATGACATGATCGCAAATATTCCTTGCGTGATATTCGATGAGGACTATAATGGGTTAATAGTTTGTGACAGCTATGTACCAACTGAATTACTGGCAGAAATCTTTTATCGCACCGATTATGGGACTGTATTGAATTGCCAATTGCTAAACATTGGAGGATGATGATACAGTAGTATTTCTGGTCAGTCTGGTATAAGAAGGCGGGTTTAACGCTACCGTTCCTATGAGAAGAGATATCTTGGCAAATATTCTATCTTATGTGTAAAACGAAACCACCGTTCGAGAAGAACCTGATGAAGAATTATTACAAAGATGGGTTGAGTAATAATTGATCCATTCTTCAGTGACGGCAGCAATCATTGGTCGGTCAAGAATTCGCCCATTGATATATTAGAATTATCTTTTTTTTTGGATCGAACCGCTATTTGTAGGAAAGTGTGATTTTACATCAAATCGCCACTATGATAAAAGAATTAATAAATAGTCTTGTGAATTGAATCATTTGATTGATCTAGAGGCCGAGAGATTTCCATCCATACAGAACCGAAAATAAGTTGGCGCTGGAAGTTCATATTTTTTAATAATCAACAGCTCAAACGATTGCTCCTGTAAGGTATAAATCTCCAAAATATTTCGAAGATTAATAATCGACTCTTCTTTACGTTAAGTCTAATTTATTTAATTGTCCTCTCGTATGAATACTTTCGAGAACACGTGGAGGTCGAGAGTATATATAGCTTATTCGAACTGGAACGAGCGTACCAAATACAAGTGTTCTAATAGCGTGTATAATACAATTATCGCAAAATACTATTTTAAACTGACTCGACTTCTAACTGTCTTAAAGACTTTCACTAAGCTCTCTCTGCGTTCGCTGAGCTACGTCGTTTTATACGCGTCTTCTCGACTACGTCATAATTCGATATCTATCGACATACCTCGTAGCATGACCCTATTCGTGGCGCTTGTCGGCTCGACATATCTCGAACTCGAACGGATCTTAAGCCTAACGGGTGTTTTGATTACATGTTTGATAACGGGTGCTCTTAATGTTACTTCCATCTTACACTCCTTAATTGCTCCGTTAGAATCCACAATTGCTCCCCTTTTAAAATTAATATTTTTTTAAATATTTACAAAAAACATAAAATTTATCATTTTCACTGAAAAACATATTTCCAATAGTTTTCTGCAACTATATCCAGCATAAAACGATTGCTCCTTAATTGCTCCATATTACTCCATCATTATTTCCATGATATATTGCATTTTTTATCGAAAATTAATAAATTAATTATTTCCCAAGCGACGCCGTCGCCACCTATCGGCCGCTTATCGGAACTACACGACTCAGCAGCCAACGGCAAGAATATTCAAATATAATATAACAGTTCTATTGTTTATTTATATCTCGAAAAGTTTAATCAACATTTCCTATTGATTTTTTGGTAGAATAATTGCTCCTTGCTTGCTCTATTATGATATTCGCGATTGCTCCACTTATATAATTAATTTTTTATGATATATTAGCAAAAAACCAATTATTTTCTTGGAAAAACATTTTCTGTAATCTACTGCAAGTATATTCAACAAAAAACGATTGCTCCTTAATTGCTTCATATTTAAAATCGTCTTAAATGTGGTCTTGGGTCGTCGTTACGCATTGTTCGTTGCCGTCCTTAAGTCCGTATCAGACTACGCATTGAAAATTGAAGATTGAAGACTAAAGATTGGAATTTGACTAATCAGAACAAAAGGGACTAAAATTTCTTTGTCCTGATTGGTCAAATTTCAATCTTGAATCTTGAATCTCAATCTTCAAGCTCGCGATTGGTCATGCTCTCGTTCCGCGTTACGCTATTCCGCTGCATGGGTTCGCACCCTTAGGGCTTAAATCACCTATTGTGGACCGGCACTTAAAACTACGGTTTATTAAACCCGATTAGGGGCGACGTGTAAACGTAATCATTGAGCTCTGTTACACGGCACCCTAAGGGCCAATTTCACCAAGCTCGGTTAGATTAACCGACGGTTAAAATTAGCAGGGTTCCAACTGAAATGATAAGAATGCTTGGTTTTCCTTCACCTCTATTTTCTGTTGGCCACCCTGCTAATTTTAACCATCGGTTAATCTAACCGGACTTTGTGAAATTGGCCCTTAATCGGATTTAATAACATCCGTAGTTGTGAAACTGGCTAATCACAGCTATTCCTCTGAAGAATGGAATGACTGTGATTGGCCAGCCTTCGAACTACGGATGTAATTAAATCCGATTAAGGGTGACGTGTAAGTGCCGGTCTACAATAGGTGATTTAAGCCCTAAGCCTTAAGAAATTGACCAATCACAATCAAGTATAAGGAGAATACTCGACTGTGATTTACTTGATCGTGATTGGTCAATTTCTTAAGGCTTAGAGCTTAAATCACTATTGTAGACCGACACTTAAGAAATTGACTAATCACAGTCGAGTATTCTCCTCATACTTGATCGTGATTGGTCAATTTCTTAAGGCTTAGAGCTTAAATCACTATTGTAGACCGGCACTAAGGCTTAGGGCTTAAATCACCTATTGTAGACTGGCACTAAACGTAGTCATTGATTTTCAGCACAAAAGGCCGTATTCCAAAATTCACTGCCAGGGTACCGATCATGTAACGTTTCCGCCCCAGGGGAAAAGTTACATGATCGATATCCAGACTACGCATTGAAAATTGAAGATTGAAGATTAAAGATTGGAATTTGGCTAATCAGAACAAAAGGAACTAAAATTTCTTTATTATTGGTCAAATTTCAATCTTGAATCGTGAATCTCAATCTTCAATGCATAGTCTGATATGCCCGTATCAGACTACGCATTGAAAATTGAAGATTGAAGATTAAAGATTGAAATTTGACTAATCAGGACAAAAGGGACTAAAATTTCTTTGTCCTGATTGGTCAAATTTCAATCTTCAATCCTCAATCTCAATCTTCAATGCGTAGTCTGATACGGGCTATACGGGCTTTACGTGAACTAGATTTCCACTACTGGCAATGAATTTTGGAACACAATCAAAACGTGGACGATTATCGGTATAGAAAATCCCTTTTTCTATACTCGGGCATAATACAAAAAATGCAAGAATTGTACAAACAAAAGAAGCCATTACAATAGAAGAGCGGAAAAAGTTTATGATTGAGAATTGTATGTAGAATTTCTTACAATTTACAATAATTATATTTACACGTATATACACGCATTTTTCGTTACAAAAAATTAAGATTCCTTATTAAACTAAAACGAATTATCACAAAAAGGAAAATAGGGCGAAGCAAGCATTGAAATTTAGTTCATTGAACTAAGTCACTGATTTGTAAGTAAAATTTTCTTTTATTGTAAACGTTCATAATTTTTTTCTTCTAAAAATATACATATTAAATAAGATTAAATTTTATACTATATTTTACTAGATATTATTACATTACATTTATATATAAATAAGTGTGGTATAGAAATAAGTATATGCATAAGATTCAATTTCTAATCGCAATAAAATGTGTCATAATTTTTTATGTGTACTTAATCAACTTGTTACGATCTAATTATTTATTTTATTGCTCTACTTTTATCGAAGGAGAACATAGAGAATAAAGGCCTCATTAGACAATCTATAATTTGTGACAAAACTAAAAAAAAAACTTTTACTTATAATTTTATGTATTATATATAAGTGTATCCTTGTGATATATATTTTGATTTGTATTTGTATTTTACTTTTTGCATTATATACGACATATATAATTTATAAATAATATTTTGTCTTGAATTTGTTGCAAATTATAGATTGTCTAAAAAGACCTTAATAAATTTCTTAAATTCAAAAGTATAATCAATATATTTTTTATTTATATTTCTGAATGATAATTAATTGCTTATTAATTATCATTTATATATAGAATTACATGGATCAATGAATTAGGTAATTATATATTAGATATAAGTGAATTTTTTAATCTCAAGATATAATAATGTGTGGTCTATGTGTGTGAGATTACTATTGTGTGGTATATGAGATTACTATTAAAATAATATTGAAAAATGTTCATTTTTTTTATTTTTAAAAATAATTCTTTTCGTGAGAAATATTTTTTTAATTTTATCTTATTTTTCCAAGTCTTTAGAATTAAAATTAAATTTTTTAACTGTTTTTAATTGAGCACAATAATTGGGAATATTAATACAGCGCAGTATTTATACTTGTAAATAATTTTTTATTGTAATCAATAAAAAATCATATACTCTGAAGATTAACCAGTTTTGGATGTATAATTGATATAAAATTATGAAATTATTAGAAAAGATTAATGTTTTTTAAGATATAATATTCAGTATTTATAAGAATAATATAATATTACTGAACATCCATTATTTGCAGGGTTGATGATAAAGATGATGTCCACTATAGATAAAGATGAAATTTACCATTGTAAAACACAACTTAAACAAAACAGATTGTGTTATACATGGAATATTTCCGATATTTGGGAAATTTATAAATTTGGTATTAAATTATGCTCTCTTAAAACCATAAACCACTTTACATTTGAAATGCATCCTGCAGAAGATAAGTTAAATTTTTATTGTATACCGCCGCTTTCATGCAGTAGTTATAATATCTCCTTTTCTGTTTTTCTGAAAACTAATACAGGAGAAATGACTAATGTATTAAAACTGACATATATAAATTTGATATATGATAGCAAAATATACAGTAAATATAAAAATACTCTATTCTATAAGCTACCTATTTCACTTCTTTCTGATAAACATATGTTTTTATCTAACAACACACTTACAATATGCTTTAAATTATATATATTCATAAATACGTACAGCAATAGTGTGTACTATTCATATGAGAGATCTGCTATGACAGATACAGATATTTTTGTTCCTAAAGAGAAATCCGATTCGTTTGTTTCGTTTATAATAAACAATGAACGTCTTGAAGCAAATAAGAAATCATTATGTTTAAAAAGTAAGGTTTTTGAAGCTATGTTTAACTGTGGTTTAAAAGAAAGTGAAAATAAAGAAGTAGTAATAACTGATATAAGATATGATATTCTAAAGGAATTATTATTTTTTGTACAAATTGGTTATCTATCTAAAACACTGGAAGAGATAGAAGAGATAAATACAATACGTGAACTTTTTGTAGCAGCTGATAAGTATGATATACAAGATCTTAAATTAATATGTGAACAATATTTAATTATAAATACGACAGAAAAAAACGTTGTAGAACATTTAAAGATTGCACATTTAAATAATGGAAAAACGTTGGAGGAATATACCAAAGATTTTATCCAATTATATTCAAAAGATATTGTGGATACCTCAGAATTAACTTTAATGAAAATGTATCCTGAGCTACTAACTCAGACTGAAGATATCGAACAGATCGTGCAAAATGTTGAAGTATCTGCAAAATCAGTATAATTTAAAACATCATGTATATGGAACTTCTACATATGGTAGTCATATACATAAAACTGAATTAGAATATAATTTCTACATTTATAGAATATATTTTTATATTCCACATTTAATTTCCACATTTTATATTTGTGTTTTATGTCATAGAATAAGCTTTTTGATTTATAGTATAATATAATGCATATCTGATATTAAAGAATAGTTCTTTTTTTAGTTTCTAAATGTGGATATGTGAAAACCGTTCTTGGTTTTGTGCGCTTTAGAAAAATACAGCAAAAACAATGAAGATAAAAAATTCAGTAAAGAAATATTTATTTTGTATTATATGCATTATATTATTATATGTTACATATTTATTTCATATTATAACAGCAATCTTTTTGTTATGAATTTATTGTGGACTTTGATGTATCTCTCAAAAGTTAATAACTTTTATTTTAAAAATTATTAATTTAATATTACACAAAATAGGGATTTTAAATGTATTCTACTTGTTCAGTTCATTTAATGTATATTAAATATATTAAATATATATTCTTAAATTAGCATGTAATTGGTCTGGACTTTTATTGTTCCAAGTTATGAGCGATTATCTGCTCTGGCGAATTCTTCTGGTCTTAAAGAAAAAAATATCTATGTATTAACTATGTATAATTCATATGTATTGGCAATGTTACTGCAGTAAAATACATGTCACATCCTACTATAAACAGAAAAAGGAGCTTTCAGTTATATCTTGATAATAAATTAATGATAAAACTCGTACAAAAAAACTCTTTTTAATTTACATATATTACAAGAACTTGGTGTTACAAACATATAAGAGAACTATTTTTTATGATTATTATCTTTTATACAAATCAGTATATTATAATTGACTTATTTGTTCATTGTATTACTTTTTATAGAATTTTGTGCATTACCAATAGTTCGATTTCCTGTCTGGGTTTCAGTCGCATTTTTATTAATTTATGGGTGCTTTCTTCGAAATCTAAAAATCTTTTGTAAGCATATATTCGAGTATATGTATATAATAGAGCAAAAATATAGATTTATATAATAGATATATATAATAGATTAAAAATATATATTTTTACTTAAATATTTCAAATACAACATACCTTCAATTTATGAGATGGATTTGCAGATTGTGCTTCAAGCAGTTCAACTACTGCAGGTATTAGATTGCGCCGGGAATGCCGTTTCACCTGTCTCGGTTGGCTCTGCTTCCTAGATCGTCTCGGTCTTTGATTTTCCTTCTCGTCCTGCCTACACACGGGATCTCGTGAATATATATTGATACCGTGACGAAAAAAAATATTATTATATGTTACATATTTATTTCATATTATAACAGCAATCTTTTTGTTATGAATTTATTGTGGACTTTGATGTATCTCTCAAAAGTTAATAACTTTTATTTTAAAAATTATTAATTTAATATTACACAAAATAGGGATTTTAAATGTATTCTACTTGTTCAGTTCATTTAATGTATATTAAATATATTAAATATATATTCTTAAATTAGCATGTAATTGGTCTGGACTTTTATTGTTCCAAGTTATGAGCGATTATCTGCTCTGGCGAATTCTTCTGGTCTTAAAGAAAAAAATATCTATGTATTAACTATGTATAATTCATATGTATTGGCAATGTTACTGCAGTAAAATACATGTCACATCCTACTATAAACAGAAAAAGGAGCTTTCAGTTATATCTTGATAATAAATTAATGATAAAACTCGTACAAAAAAACTCTTTTTAATTTACATATATTACAAGAACTTGGTGTTACAAACATATAAGAGAACTATTTTTTATGATTATTATCTTTTGTACAAATTAGTATATTATAATTGACTTATTTGTTCATTGTATTACTTTTTATAGAATTTTGTGCATTACCAATAGTTCGATTTCCTGTCTGGGTTTCAGTCGCATTTTTATTAATTTATGGGTGCTTTCTTCGAAATCTAAAAATCTTTTGTAAGCATATATTCGAGTATATGTATATAATAGAGCAAAAATATAGATTTATATAATAGATATATATAATAGATTAAAAATATATATTTTTACTTAAATATTTCAAATACAACATACCTTCAATTTATGAGATGGATTTGCAGATTGTGCTTCAAGCAGTTCAACTACTGCAGGTATTAGATTGCGCCGGGAATGCCGTTTCACCTGTCTCGGTTGGCTCTGCTTCCTAGATCGTCTCGGTCTTTGATTTTCCTTCTCGTCCTGCCTACACACGGGATCTCGTGAATATATATTGATACCGTGACGAAAAAAAAGAATCATCGAATGGATATAAATAGTTCGTATAATAGCAAATTGATGATCGGAGATGACGACTGGAGGCGAAAAGTTAATAACAGATCTGTAACCCGTCATCGAGCGTGCCAATATTAGCCGGATGAACGAACATAAAATAAAAAACGGTTTGCCACTTAACGTCATACGGCATTCATTACACATTACATAATTAATGGTAACTAAAAAAAAGGAGAAACGCAACAGAATGCGGCAATTAATTGAATAAACAAACATAAGCCGAATATCACGTGCAATAGCGGTAAATGTCACAAAGCTTACCCGAGTATAGTGCTTGGCGGTATTACAGTGGTAGTGGTAGCAGGCAGTGTGTGAGTTGTGAGACGGGCCGGGTTTTCTCGCGCATGCGCGGCGAACGTAGCATCAATGAAGTATATATATGGATAAAAACTGGTAGCAGGTGCGATTGTTGGAGCTGGTGCTGGAAAAACTGGTGGCCCAGGTGGTAGTCGTCCTCCTCCCACGGGGCTATAAATTCAATAATGAGCAATAAATGATCGCGTAAATTATTCGTCAGTGAAAGGACGAAGATCTTCCGAACTTCTGCGAAAAGATTGAGCTTAGAAGTTCGTGAACATTTTCGTCGTATAAAATTATATAAAATATTTATTTGCATTCAAAAGTTCTAAGTAGAGGAATAGAACAATATATAATGTAATAAGAATAAATTAAGTGTAGAGAATTTTAAAATAATTCTTGTATAAAAATTAAGAATATTTTTACAAAGAATACTGAATTTATTGTATGTATACATATAACGGACACATGCCTGAATAAATTTACAAATATTTATAATCTCTTTTACCAGAGAAATTTCTGCTGAAATGATACAAAACAAACATTGAAATATTAAAATTTGTATGTATTGTATCCAGTATGTATTGAAATAGAATTTTATATTTATTCGGAGAACAGGTTTTTCATCTTATATCTACTCTCGTGATATATGACTCATAAAAAGATAAACGTAATATATATGTGTGTTAATATATATACATTTCTCACTATATCTAATAAAGGACGATACTGAATCCAGGCGATAAATCGTAAGCTCATCGTTTTTATTTATTTATTTTCGTTTTTGGCTTCCGATTTCTCTATTCAAAGTGAACAATATAATGCATGATTTTACACGCGACATTTTATAAATACATATGCTTCATTTATGTTGAACATATATAAACATATAGATTAGGTTATGTCACCATGTTACATGCGGGAAATTGTCAATGTCCACGGAAATCTTGTAATAAGAAAGCTCAAACTTATGATCCGGCAACTTAATCCATATCACGCCGATAATGTTGCGTCTTATGACACGCGAGAAATTACATCGCAATGTTTTTATAAGCAGTGTAACAGGGGCAAAATTGTGAAAATGGTATGCTTCCTCGAAAACGCTCTGGACAACCAAATTGCCGCAGACCTCAAGTAAAACAATTTTATAATCATTCTAAGATTATATTTCCATTGCCCAAGCGAATTTGATACACCTATTTCTTGTGAATACTATGAATAGTGTTTTGTATATTATTAACGATATTAAATATTATTAACAACATTAAATATATATTATTCTATTCTATGAGACAAAATTTAATATAATTGTTATTTTAGTTCGTTTTTCTGTCTTTTATTTCGTGTATACATTTGAGAGTAACATAACAAGAGAATATTTTTTATTAAGTATGAGAATTTTAAAATATATAGTTTTTGTTTAAAAAATATTTGTACAAAAAATACTAAATTTATGAACATATATAAAGCAAATTTCTCTGAATAGATCTGCACATAAACAAATTTATATTTTCCTTTACCAAACACATTTCTGTTGAAACAATATCAAATAAACATTAAGATATTAATGCTTTCTCGAAAACGTCCTGGTGCCAAAATAACATTGGCAACATTCGATTAACATATACATTGTAAGATTGAATATAATGTATCGTAATGATTGAATCATTCATTGACAGACAACATGGGACAAGATCACGCAAGCACTTCTCGCGTGATATTCGACGAGGAGGATGACAATGGATTAATCTTACCGGCTGAATTACTGGCCGAAATATTCTGTCGCGCCGATCATGGGACCCTATTGAATTGCCAATTGGTATGCAAGCGGTGGAGGATGGTGATACAGAGTTACATATGGCGCAAGAAGGCGGAACTGGCACTGGGCAAACCGTTCCCGCGTCACGAGGGGATACCCTGGCACGCGTTCTATCTCATAAGCAAGATGAGACCGTTCGAGAGAAATCTATTGAAGAATCATTCCGGCGAGCAGAACATGAAATATTGGAATATTCTCAGCAACGGCGGTGATCATTGGACGGTCGAGAACCCACCTGTCGGCGTGCTGGAATTACCATTGACCGAACCAATATTTGAGGGAAAACAAATCTGCTTCGCAACGTCTTATCATAGTTGTACCAAGAAACAGATTGTAAATCTAGTGGCTGAAGGACTCCATCCCTATCTCCTGGATGTTTTGCAGCCACCTATAATGGTATCATAATCATCAATTGTGATAAATTATTTAAATCAAAATGTTTTATAAAATTCTAAGAGAATAAAGTATGTATAAGTTATATGTATATTGTAGGTGAGCGAATGGTATAGTTGTCGATGGGATTGTCCAGCGACATATGAATGCCAGATTGTACTATTAGGAGTTAAAAAAGAAGATAGCACAGTGAAAATCTTAGACAAGTTTCAATTTCGCGATACTATAGTGGGAGAGAGACAGAACCAATGGCTACATGTGAGTATCCATAAAATAATTCATAATTTCACTCATTGAGTTTAAAATCAACTTATCTTCAACTAATTATTTTTGTTAACTTATTTTTATATGCTCTTCATATATGGAATAGGTATCGCATGTATTTGAAAACTATGGATCTGGTTTGAGAGAGATTAGCTTTTTGCATGGTGGAATGGACAAATTATTTTGGGCAGGACATTATGGTAGCAAAATGGCCGGGGCGTATATCTGTGTGAACATTCCTCAACTCACGCATACTTACGATGATGAATCAGATACACCACCAATCCTAGATGAATAGAAACATTATTATAAAATTTATATTGTTCCCAGTGCAAAATTAATATACAAAAATATAAAATTATGTAAAAAAAAGAATGATATATTTAATAAAAACTAATTTTTCTACAGAATTTATCTATTGTTAAATTATAGATTATTAAATAGCATATATAATATATATATATAGGAAACTATTATATATATATATATATATATATATATATATAAAAAATAAAAAAAAATTTTTTTTAAAACTTTGATTCTGATGTATTTGTAGAGTTCAGTGTCGAAAAACAAGCTAATAAGTAATCTGTCGACGTATAAATGATTTAATGAAATTGATGTTATGTATATAAAATAAAAATCAATTTTTAATAAAATAAAGACTTGGATAAAAACGTGTGTTTTCCATTTAGATATACAATATAAAAATTATGAATGTAATTGAAAAGCTATTTCGATCAAATTTTGTGGTGCAGCGTCTTGATGGCACACATACAACTCCTTTGGATGGGGGCTTGTGTAGAGACGTCCAATTACCCAAAATGTTATATTTTCCCATTCAAATAGCACACCATGCTCTTTAATAGCGATTAAACTTCTATTGATAGCAGTTTTCTCTATATCTTGATTCAACATTTTCTTAAATCTCACTGTATTATGTAATAGTCTATGGATAACATGTACACATTTGTTGAAGTTAACAAGAATCCTGTTGTCGTTTGATGTATTTTGAATTGGTATTGATGACAATAGAATCCCTTCCACTGTGTCTAAGTGAACGTAATGATATAAATAATTTTTATCACCAGCAGTCAATTTTTTCGGTATCAAGTATTCAACTTGATTTAATAAATTTTCCCGTATATTGGATATATCCATTGTGTTGAGTACATGACTATCATTCTGTAAGAAAATCGACAGATATATCTACATTTGTATAATATATATTACGAATAGTTGTTCTTAATACACTTTTTGTTTAAATTACTTGAAAATTATCAGCCGCTATTATCTTTTAGCTAGAAAGATAGTTACCTTATATATGTCGATATCTGAATCACTGTCATCGGAATATCTCGATGCCGAATTGATTTTTTCTCTAGTTGCTCGTCTTCCAAGAATAGGCATTGCCTCGTCACTCATTTCACTAACTCCACCTGTTCCTTGACTGAGCGAATCTTCAGAAGTGTGTAAAGAATATACTAAATGTATAAAGACAAACATACTTGTAAAATAATTCCATATTACAACATGTACACTATTTGTATATAATGTAAAAATTGACGAAAGCAGAGAGAAGGAATAAAATACACAATGTAAAAAATTTTTGAATTAATTTCATATTGTGCTTCTGCATGTATTGTAACTTACCAGAACCTGAGATCATAGGGCTGTCTTCAGAACTACGTTTCTTCAAAATAGAAGGCAGCTCTTGCAGCTTTTTATTAGTAGGATTGACATTTTGTTTAGGCGGTACAATTTGCGCGTCGGACAATTTTATTAAACCAAGTAGATTCTCCGTTATACTGGATGACACTTTTGTCATTGCATGTTCCTCGTATGGTATTACTTCTGGTCTGGCATTAGATGTAATCCACTTTGAGGCCAAAATTGTGATTCCTATTTTTTGTATATGCTTCAGCGTCTCTTGAGCTTCTTCTACATAAAATACATCCGGGCCTATTGCATCATTATACCTAAATGGGAATAATAAAAACTTAAATAATAATAACACCATATACATTTTATATATATATATATATATATATATATATATATATATATATATATATATATATATATATATATATATATATATATATATATATATATATATATATATATATATATATATATATATATATATATATATATATATATATATATATATATATATATATATATATATATATATATATATATATATATATATATATATATATATATATATATATATATATATATATATATATATATATATATATATATATATATATATATATATATATATATATATATATATATATATATATATATATATATATATATATATATATATATATATATATATATATATATATATATATATATATATATATATATATATATATATATATATATATATATATATATATATATATATATATATATATATATATATATATATATATATATATATATATATATATATATATATATATATATATATATATATATATATATATATATATATATATATATATATATATATATATATATATATATATATATATATATATATATATATATATATATATATATATATATATATATATATATATATATATATATATATATATATATATATATATATATATATATATATATATATATATATATATATATATATATATATATATATATATATATATATATATATATATATATATATATATATATATATATATATATATATATATATATATATATATATATATATATATATATATATATATATATATATATATATATATATATATATATATATATATATATATATATATATATATATATATATATATATATATATATATATATATATATATATATATATATATATATATATATATATATATATATATATATATATATATATATATATATATATATATATATATATATATATATATATATATATATATATATATATATATATATATATATATATATATATATATATATATATATATATATATATATATATATATATATATATATATATATATATATATATATATATATATATATATATATATATATATATATATATATATATATATATATATATATATATATATATATATATATATATATATATATATATATATATATATATATATATATATATATATATATATATATATATATATATATATATATATATATATATATATATATATATATATATATATATATATATATATATATATATATATATATATATATATATATATATATATATATATATATATATATATATATATATATATATATATATATATATATATATATATATATATATATATATATATATATATATATATATATATATATATATATATATATATATATATATATATATATATATATATATATATATATATATATATATATATATATATATATATATATATATATATATATATATATATATATATATATATATATATATATATATATATATATATATATATATATATATATATATATATATATATATATATATATATATATATATATATATATATATATATATATATATATATATATATATATATATATATATATATATATATATATATATATATATATATATATATATATATATATATATATATATATATATATATATATATATATATATATATATATATATATATATATATATATATATATATATATATATATATATATATATATATATATATATATATATATATATATATATATATATATATATATATATATATATATATATATATATATATATATATATATATATATATATATATATATATATATATATATATATATATATATATATATATATATATATATATATATATATATATATATATATATATATATATATATATATATATATATATATATATATATATATATATATATATATATATATATATATATATATATATATATATATATATATATATATATATATATATATATATATATATATATATATATATATATATATATATATATATATATATATATATATATATATATATATATATATATATATATATATATATATATATATATATATATATATATATATATATATATATATATATATATATATATATATATATATATATATATATATATATATATATATATATATATATATATATATATATATATATATATATATATATATATATATATATATATATATATATATATATATATATATATATATATATATATATATATATATATATATATATATATATATATATATATATATATATATATATATATATATATATATATATATATATATATATATATATATATATATATATATATATATATATATATATATATATATATATATATATATATATATATATATATATATATATATATATATATATATATATATATATATATATATATATATATATATATATATATATATATATATATATATATATATATATATATATATATATATATATATATATATATATATATATATATATATATATATATATATATATATATATATATATATATATATATATATATATATATATATATATATATATATATATATATATATATATATATATATATATATATATATATATATATATATATATATATATATATATATATATATATATATATATATATATATATATATATATATATATATATATATATATATATATATATATATATATATATATATATATATATATATATATATATATATATATATATATATATATATATATATATATATATATATATATATATATATATATATATATATATATATATATATATATATATATATATATATATATATATATATATATATATATATATATATATATATATATATATATATATATATATATATATATATATATATATATATATATATATATATATATATATATATATATATATATATATATATATATATATATATATATATATATATATATATATATATATATATATATATATATATATATATATATATATATATATATATATATATATATATATATATATATATATATATATATATATATATATATATATATATATATATATATATATATATATATATATATATATATATATATATATATATATATATATATATATATATATATATATATATATATATATATATATATATATATATATATATATATATATATATATATATATATATATATATATATATATATATATATATATATATATATATATATATATATATATATATATATATATATATATATATATATATATATATATATATATATATATATATATATATATATATATATATATATATATATATATATATATATATATATATATATATATATATATATATATATATATATATATATATATATATATATATATATATATATATATATATATATATATATATATATATATATATATATATATATATATATATATATATATATATATATATATATATATATATATATATATATATATATATATATATATATATATATATATATATATATATATATATATATATATATATATATATATATATATATATATATATATATATATATATATATATATATATATATATATATATATATATATATATATATATATATATATATATATATATATATATATATATATATATATATATATATATATATATATATATATATATATATATATATATATATATATATATATATATATATATATATATATATATATATATATATATATATATATATATATATATATATATATATATATATATATATATATATATATATATATATATATATATATATATATATATATATATATATATATATATATATATATATATATATATATATATATATATATATATATATATATATATATATATATATATATATATATATATATATATATATATATATATATATATATATATATATATATATATATATATATATATATATATATATATATATATATATATATATATATATATATATATATATATATATATATATATATATATATATATATATATATATATATATATATATATATATATATATATATATATATATATATATATATATATATATATATATATATATATATATATATATATATATATATATATATATATATATATATATATATATATATATATATATATATATATATATATATATATATATATATATATATATATATATATATATATATATATATATATATATATATATATATATATATATATATATATATATATATATATATATATATATATATATATATATATATATATATATATATATATATATATATATATATATATATATATATATATATATATATATATATATATATATATATATATATATATATATATATATATATATATATATATATATATATATATATATATATATATATATATATATATATATATATATATATATATATATATATATATATATATATATATATATATATATATATATATATATATATATATATATATATATATATATATATATATATATATATATATATATATATATATATATATATATATATATATATATATATATATATATATATATATATATATATATATATATATATATATATATATATATATATATATATATATATATATATATATATATATATATATATATATATATATATATATATATATATATATATATATATATATATATATATATATATATATATATATATATATATATATATATATATATATATATATATATATATATATATATATATATATATATATATATATATATATATATATATATATATATATATATATATATATATATATATATATATATATATATATATATATATATATATATATATATATATATATATATATATATATATATATATATATATATATATATATATATATATATATATATATATATATATATATATATATATATATATATATATATATATATATATATATATATATATATATATATATATATATATATATATATATATATATATATATATATATATATATATATATATATATATATATATATATATATATATATATATATATATATATATATATATATATATATATATATATATATATATATATATATATATATATATATATATATATATATATATATATATATATATATATATATATATATATATATATATATATATATATATATATATATATATATATATATATATATATATATATATATATATATATATATATATATATATATATATATATATATATATATATATATATATATATATATATATATATATATATATATATATATATATATATATATATATATATATATATATATATATATATATATATATATATATATATATATATATATATATATATATATATATATATATATATATATATATATATATATATATATATATATATATATATATATATATATATATATATATATATATATATATATATATATATATATATATATATATATATATATATATATATATATATATATATATATATATATATATATATATATATATATATATATATATATATATATATATATATATATATATATATATATATATATATATATATATATATATATATATATATATATATATATATATATATATATATATATATATATATATATATATATATATATATATATATATATATATATATATATATATATATATATATATATATATATATATATATATATATATATATATATATATATATATATATATATATATATATATATATATATATATATATATATATATATATATATATATATATATATATATATATATATATATATATATATATATATATATATATATATATATATATATATATATATATATATATATATATATATATATATATATATATATATATATATATATATATATATATATATATATATATATATATATATATATATATATATATATATATATATATATATATATATATATATATATATATATATATATATATATATATATATATATATATATATATATATATATATATATATATATATATATATATATATATATATATATATATATATATATATATATATATATATATATATATATATATATATATATATATATATATATATATATATATATATATATATATATATATATATATATATATATATATATATATATATATATATATATATATATATATATATATATATATATATATATATATATATATATATATATATATATATATATATATATATATATATATATATATATATATATATATATATATATATATATATATATATATACCATATACATTTTATATATATATATATATATATATGCATATATATTTATGATAACATATTCACTTTGCAGTACATCCTCCAGATTCCAACAGGACCGCTAATAAATCGTGTCCGTATCCGACAACCAATAAAAACCACTTTCCATTAGGTATTAAAAATTGATCACTACTGCTACCATCAATACCGCCGCGATTGCAAGATGAAGGATAAATCTGCTTCCACAGAACAAGGCACTTTACTTGTTCCTGATTCACCAGATTCAACAGACCATTGTGTCTCAGAAATGAATGCACGTCGATCAAATCTTCGTGAGGTAAATGAGATCCCAAAAGATGGCATTTATGATAAATGCAACTCCCTAATATAGTATATAATCTCTGACAATCCATAGGATCCTCATTCTGTCAAAACATACGTGTCTATTAAACTTTCAATATAAATAGTTTCTAACACAAAAATATTCTCATCATTATTTAAATTATTTGATTTAAAGAAATATTACAATATACCCAGTCTCTGTAATCCATAGCTTCCATTTCACTTAACGCTGCGTCTATTTGAATCTGCGCATCTCTCGGTAGTTGTATATAACTTGCAATGGAAAAAGCGCTTCTGAATTTATAATTTTCTATATTTTCTATACTATTTTCCGATTTTGATAAATTTTTTCTTGCATCAGTATCTTTGCAAGAATCTTTGATGTTTAATAATCTATGTATAAATAGAGCGAAGAAATGATCCAAGGAAGATTGATTTTCCACAGAAGTAAAGCACTTTGTCAATGATTGATAAGTAAATTCTAATGTTCTAACAATATCCTCCGTAATCTTGATAGCTTCTTGAGAGGTGCAGCTAAAAAATAATAAGATTTACATTACAGATGTCCATATATGATGCTACTATATTTTTTTCACACAATATATTGTTCTTAAGCAAGATTTACCATTTATCGGGTAAAGTTATTAAAAGCAATTCATCATCGCGAGATGTATATACGACATGTGCTTCTTTTTCGCCTATGCGGATAGTCGTACTAGAAAATATACATGCATTTGTTATTCTTTTTTTTTAACTTATAACTAAATATATATTTTTTAATATATAAATATGTGTGTACCTGACAGGTTGTAGGTTTACTATACTAGGTAATAAATGATTAAGAGTTATAAAAGCTCCTCTTGCCGTACACAAGGAAGAATTTATGTTTTTAGTTCCAGATCGTGGAAATGTGTACAATACACCTTGCAATTCTTGGCCTACTTCCGAAAGATCTGTAGTTTTTAAATATAATACACCCAATGGATAATCCAATAACAATTCCATCAAGGAATTACTATTTTCTCTATTTATTAAATATTGGGCTAAGATCGATTGCTAAAAGGTATAATTAATCAAATTTTTATCACATAAACTCTTTATAACTGCTGCATTTATATAAAAACTAATTACTTTTGGCTGAATTATTCTTGATAGTTTTGCAGTAACATCAACACCAGCTACTCTTTCCAATTCTAATATTACCTATAAAAATAAAAAATTTTTACATTTTAAAGAAAATCTGAGAAAGATATGAAGAAAATACAAATTTACAATTTAATATTGTGTTTAATTATATGACAAATTGGACTCTTAAGAAATTTATTAAAACTCTTCTGTCATTTATTAATCTTACATTTGATGGTGTGATGATTTCAGATAATATCTGATCTAAATTTTGAAAAGTAACATTGTTCGAATTAACTCTCCGTAACCAATCCCCAATTTTAATATTTTTATTCTTCATAGCTTCACCATCGGGTATAAATCCTGCCACCATAACTCTCACTTTATCTGAAAATGCTTTTGGTATGATACCAAAATATGCTTCGCATAAGGTTGCTCTTCTGCCCAACTTATGTCTTCTTTCAGGATCAATCCACAATGTAACTTGACGAGTTTCTCCTGCCTTATATGTTATAAAATTATTTATTTTTAATTTTTTTAAATATATTTTTTTCTCATTGTATTCAGTGCCTCAATCATTACCTGGAAATCTCGAAATGTGACTTCCTTGCTTCCGCTGCCATCTCCTTTCTCTTGTTCGACTGTGTTGCTTGCCGCATTGCTATTGTTGATCCTCTTATTTCTCGTACTCCACCGCTTACTCTCTTTACGTCTGATTAGACGGAACAATTTACCAGCTCTTGTGCTACGACGACGAGTCAATTCAGGTTGAGAACTGTCATTCTTATTGTCCAAAGTTGTATGGCCAGACTCGAACAGACTCTCCTCTACAGATTCTATGTAAAATACTTCTCCATTGGGTTTAATCTCGGATTCCCATTCAACCGCAGAACTGCAATTTCAAGTCATGGAAAAATATATTTTATCGAGTTTATTAGAAAAATATATTTAAAATATTAACTTAAACTAAACTTGTGTTAAGTTAATCTTGTTTTACCTGTCGGTATCGGAGTAATACGATCCTGTGCTGGAACCGCTGTCACTCGCCCACCAATCGTGATCATCTTCGTTGCAAGCCGTAGAATACGACTGATTGGAAAGTTTGCATTTAGATTTTAATGGAACATTCTTGTTATCTATTTCACTCATGTTTCATTAAAAATTATTGCGACAAATGCAAATTTTTTACAAAGTTTTGAGTTCTGAATATTAAGTATTATACAATATCATATTTTTGTATGATTATATCTTCTAAATTATAGCACATATAACATAATAATAATAATTATTAATTTCACTTGCATTTATTCATTATAATTGTAGCAATAAGGCAAGCTCAAAGCTTAAGCATAATAACACAGTATATACAGTAGCGCAACTCCCTGTCGGCACCTTTGATGTTAGTGTTGGCCAAAACGGAGTGCGCATGCGCGAAATAAGTAAGTTAGTCGGTAACGCCATCTGAACTTTTCTCTCGCTCACTCTCGTTTATCTTTCTGTCTCTAACTCATTAATACATATGTAGCAATAAATAATAATCCAAAATAATGTATTTTAATAAAAAATATATACAGATAAATTGTTAATAATATATTTGAAAAAGGAAAAAAATAAAATAATGAAAAAATAAATATAATTATGTTAATATACAATATATTACATAAATAATTATGCTATATGCAAAATATATTACATGAACTAATAGAGAGAGCAAAAAAAAGGAATATAAAATATTATTCGAAAATTGTTAAATGTATTATAAAGACAGTATCAAGAAAACATATATATATAAAGTTATAATTACAAATATAATTATATTAAATAGCTGTAATCGTTTCGTAATCGCATTGTATCAAAAACTCTGATAAATTGTGCGATCGTACAATAAATAACATATAATGTCATCTATTCCGCCAAATAAGGTAGGTAGTAGGCATTTAATTGGGTATTTAATTAGTGTGAGAGAGAACGAAAGAGTAGAAAAAAAAGAGTAAGTGAGAGAGAAATTTAGATGGCGTTACTGGCCAACTTACTTATTTCGCGCATGCGCACTCCGTTTTGGCCAACACAAAATCGGGAGAGTTGCGCTACTGTATATACTGTGGCTTTACCGTGTGAAAAATTTTAGCACACACGCGCGTGCTATATAAATAGATTTTTTTGTATGTCAAGGATAAAAATTTAATTATATAAAGTGCGTATACGTTATCGTATCGATAAATTGCTATTTTTAATAGAAGGGAATATTATATTATTTTAATTTGATTTAAAAAAAAAGTTAATGAAGAATAAATTTCCTTCTAAAACTCATATTTTTTTACAAAATGTAAGTATTTGAATAATTATATATTTTAAAGGGAAGGATTGTGTGTGAATTAGTATCTTCACTTCCATAGTTTGTTGAGAACAGCTGTAGATGATGTTTGAATACCTATTTATACAAATTTCATCGGCACGTGCGCATTTCTTTGTTTTTATCATTGTTGAATTTGTGATTTTTGTTAGTTAATCCTTTAATCACTATTGAGATATATGTATAGTGTGATTTATTGTTAATTATAGTCAAATAATTATAAGAAAAGAATTCCGTATGTAACACACAACCACACACACACATACGATTGTTGAGGTTATCTGACCACGTTGAACATTCCGAAGCCTATATAACAATAAAATTAAATATTTTAGAATCATGAAAACCAAACGAATTAATGATAGTGAATGGAAACCTATAACATTGGAAGGTACTTTATTATCCAATGGCATAGAAGGATTAATTGGAATAGAGGAATTAACTGATTATAGTTTAGAACGGAACAGCAAGAAAGGCAAGATTATAACTACAGAAGTAAAATTTGTCAAAAAGAAAAAAGTAAGTAATTTGTTTCATTGATACTTATTCTCATATTTTGAAATTGTTATTAAAATTATTAATGAATTATTAATTAATGAATTATAGTCAATAGCAAAGCGCAAATGTTTAGATGAATGGAAAGAAAGTAATATCGACAGTGCTGAGACTCCCATAAAAAAATTGAAAGTTAAGAAAGCTAAATCAAAGAAATTGGATGAGAAAACAATAAAATCAACAGAGCGCAAAATTATTAATTCACAAATTGATTCTGATAGCGAAAATGATTTGTCCTGTGATACAAATAATAAAAATTTGGCAAAGATTAATATTGAAGCATGGAGCTCTATTGGTGTTCCTACTACTGTAATAAAAGCTTTAGCTGATCAGAATTTTCATTCTCCTACTGCGATACAAGCTCAGACATTGCCAGCTGCTATATTAGGCCGCAGAGACATATTAGGTGCTGCTGAAACTGGTAGTGGCAAGACATTAGCTTTTGGTATCCCAATAATAAAAGGTATCTTGGATTTGAAGAAGCAGGAGTTAGAAATACCAGTGTCTAAAGAAACTATAAAATATGACTCTCAAAATAGTCAATGGAGTTGTTCAAAAATAGAAGCTAAAGGTAGTACAGCAATATTCTTTTTTACTTTTTTTTTGTAAAATCGAATTAATGCATTAATAGTTACTATTAATTCTTTAACTTTAAATCTTTTATAGATGATAATTCTGATTCAGAAAATGAAAATATATCAGAATCCAAAAATTGTGTACATGTTATAAAAGATATAAAGCTTGATGATTGTCAAAATATCCCAATCAAACCCTTGTATGCATTAATTTTGACACCAACTCGCGAATTAGCGATCCAAATAAAGAACCATCTTACTCAAGCAGCAAAATATACAGATATTAAGGTGAAGCTAATTTTTTTTCAAATTTAGAATAATACAATATATTATTTTTTAGATAATATAATTATATTATGTATAATTTTAATTATAATGATATATTATTATAGATAGCTGTTATTCTTGGAGGTATGGCAGCAGTAAAACAAGAAAGGATATTAAATAAAGGTCCTGAAATTGTCATCGCTACACCTGGAAGATTGTGGGAACTGATTCAAGAAGGCAATTCTCATCTAAATCAAGTTGATTCTATTAAGTAATTGCCAATTTTTAAACAGAAGAGAGAAAATAAGATATTATTTTTTCTCTTCTGAAAGAGAAAATAATCTTTTGTTATATTATAGAAAATTTGTTATATAATTTAGGTACTTAGCTATTGATGAGACAGACAGAATGATGGAGAAGGGTCATTTTCAAGAATTACACGATCTCATAGAAAAAATGAATGCAAATCCGATCAAGCTGGAGAAACGGCAGGTGTTTGTTTTTTCGGCTACTTTAACTATGGTGCACGATCTTCCGGATTATCTCGAGAGAAAAAAGAAACGATACGCTAGGAGTAAAATATACAAACTCACTCCTGGCCAGAAACTGCAAACGATTATACACTTGTTAAAAATAAAAAATCCTAAAGTCGTCGATCTTACAAAAGAATCAGGTATACATGCATCTTAATTATCAATCGTCAAACATGTGGGCTACTCATGCATTATGTATTAATCAAATCTATATTATCAGCTATGGCTGATAACTTGACCGAATGTCGAATAGCATGCACGATCGACCACAAGGATTATTACCTTTATTACTTTTTGAAGAAACACAGTGGAAGGACATTAGTATTTTGTAACAGCATCGGCTGTGTCAAGAGATTATCCACCCTCTTCAACATACTTGAGTGCAAACCTTTACCTCTGCATGCCAATATGCAACAACGACAACGTCTAAAAAATCTCGAAAGGTTGTATAAATATATATATACATTAAATACATTTTTTTGTGAAATTCGTACTAATTGGAAGAGGGATTATAGGTTTCAAGCTGATGAAAATGGACTATTAATAGCCACGGATGTAGCCGCGCGAGGTTTAGATATACCTAACATAGAGCATGTAATACATTATCAAGTCCCAAGGACATCCGAGGTGAATATCTAAAATATTAACGCTAATATAACATTATAATACTTTCACACAAAACTGATTTGACAATTATTTTACAGAATTACGTACACAGGAGCGGTAGAACGGCAAGAGCAGAAAAAGAAGGTATCACAGTTCTAATGATGGAACCTTCTGAAAAACAGAACTACAGCAAGTTGTGCAAAACTCTTGGACGTAGTACGTTAATATTCATTAATTAATATTCATTTATTAATAATTATAAATATGATAATAACATGAATCTCTGTTTCTAGCGCATGATTTACCTACATTTCCTGTAGTAGATAGGCTATTAATCTCTGTAAAAGAAAGAGTAGATGTTGCTCGCGATATTGATAAACTGGAATTAAAATGTCGCCGGCAGAATACTCAGAAAAGTTGGTTACGGAAAGCAATGGAGGATATGGATATGATCTTAGACGATGACGACAACGATAAGTAAGAGAAATGAATTGATTTGCTTATATTTTTTATCTATACAATGTAAATTATATTATTTTTTTATTTTAGTGAATTATCAACGGAATCGGAAGAAGCAGCAGCATTGAGACGACAATTAAAGGCAAAGAGAAATCACTTGCGATCTCTGTTATCAAAGCCAGTATTCCCGAAAGGATTCTCAGGAAAGTATCTTGATGATAATTTAAATATAGATCCTGCTCAGGATACAGAGAAAGCTATCGAAGTGATGAAAAAGGCAATAGAAAATAATTCCCGTAAAAGTAAAGAGAGCAATATCGTATCTCAGAAAAGAGAACGATTGCAAAAAAAGCTGAAAAAATCTACAAAGTTTAAAAAGACATAAAATATATATCTTGTTTATATATACGAATCGTGCTGATATTTTTCTCATCATATTATTTTGTTTGTTTAATATTCATCACAAAACTGATTTCACAGAGCAATCATGAATTAATAAAAATTAGATAAATTTTATTTTGTCGCAGGTTATACTTACATTCATAATTAATTTGAGCAATTCATCATTCTAAGAAACATATTTTTAATATGCACATGCTTATGTAATATAATACATTCCTCGAAACAGTGAATAGAAAGTCGATCGATGAACACAGCGGTTTGCCTACACTTTAAAAATTTCACATGTCGCTGCTGCAAGTTACAATTAAATTCTTTTTTTGGTCGTTTTCGTATTATTATGAGCATCATCATAGCGATTTGTACGTTGACTCGATAATCTCAGAACACGGTGTTATAGATCATTGCGTCCTCTGTACTGATAATGGAGTCGATCTGCTCGCTCATCACCATCGAGTTCGCGTACCTCTCGTTGCCGATCACATTGCGCGTTTCTAAGGACGAATCATGGCCCTGCATGACGATCCTGATTCGCGCCATTACGTGGCTTCCTGGACATTTTTGTACCTGGTCTACCATCACGGTATCGCAGATCTCGGCGTAGATCTCCTCATTTTTGTTGCTGGTCCTGACCAGCTTCGGTGGTAACGGCAATGGTGTCAGGCTGTCCCTCACACGGGAGTAGTTGGGCTGCAGTTCGATGCACGTCGGTACCTCCAACACGCTGGTCGATACGGATCTCTGTACCGGTTGCTTAGCGTTTTGATTCTGACGAGTCTGATGGGAGGTAGTTTCCGGTTCCAGACTGGAGTAACGTTCCTGAGATCTCATGGCTATTTCCGGTCTTACCGCGAACGTGAACGAGGCCGATTTCTTCGCGGGATTGCGGTTTCTGCTGCTTTGAGCGAGTTTCGAGATTCTTTCAAGAATGCCGTTTCCGGTGTTCTGCTTCGGTCTGTTGGTTCCATTCTTTCGCCGTGTTCCGCTTCAGGTGTACCAGTCCATCCTTTAGACTTTGCAGAATCGGTTTAGTCTCCGACTTCGGCTTGATCTTCTTCAGATGCATCTCCTTCAAACTCTCAGCTGTCGGCGGATGCAGTTTCACGTGCGCCACTCGTGGCTCGATTGCACGATCCTCGACCGCTCGGCTAAAGTAGAAAAACGAGTTCAACCACATAGAATATAAATTCCAATATAATAAGTTAACAGTTGATTTCTGTGATACGTCAAATCAAATTAATGAAATTTTTAGAAAAGTTTAGACATGCCAAGAAACCAGAATTAGACAATTTTATTCGAATAATACAGTCAACGAATAAAAAAAGATATTTAATTTTTACTTCTGTAATTTATACTCTAAGTGATTAATTTGAATAATATGTTAAAGTCTTTATTAGGAAACTGAACTTTAATTTTATCGAAGCAAAGTTAATTATGCTTTAAATTAATTGATTTGCCTGCAGGCTGATAGTAATCGTTGAATTTTTGGGGAGGCCAGCAATCTCACCTCCGAAGGGTAACCCAATTTAGCCCTTCGCACTCTCGGCGCACCGTTCCCGGATGCAACTAATTCAAGCATTTCCGGATTATGCACCGGTCTTTCCGGAACTACGCAGCCCAAAACTATTGGACCTTGCGTCGACGTTTTCAACTGCATTAGACCGCCGTATTCCTTCGGCAACGGCACGGGCAGCGGTCCCGCTATCAATCGTACCTGAAGCAACAAATTAATTTAATCGATAATCGAAAAGAATGAAAAACATAATAAGATATTTTTTAGCGTTGATTATTAAAAAAGATAGTATAAGCTTCATAAAAGCTCACTCACTTTAAGAGGCAACTGTCTCTTGGCGAGATGCTGAACCTTGTAAAGTACCGCGTCACTTCCGGTATCGACGCTTCCGTTTTGACAGATCGCGTAAAACTCGCCTCTGGTCGACACCGGAAATTCTCGTCCATGAAGATCGATGCATTGGGCGTATTGGTCCTTTTCGGGATATTCGCCGGAAATCCCGAAGGAGACCGAGCTGCATTTCCTCGTATCCTGAAAGATGCTGAACCTTGTAAAGTACCGCGTCACTTCCGGTATCGACGCTTCCGTTTCGACAGATCGCGTAAAACTCGCCTCTGGTCGACACCGGAAAGTCTCGTCCATGAAGATCGATGCATTGGGCGTATTGGTCCTTTTCGGGATATCCGCCGGAAATCCCGAAGGAGACCGAGCTGCATCTCCTCGTATCCTGAAAGACCGCTACGAGCCGCAATATCTCGCCGGCTTTGATCGTCGTCTTCGTGTAATGGGCACGCAGATTTCCGTTCTCTGAAAGATATAAAATGCGAAATTGATCACGGATTGCAGCCGCGATATTATTTGCAATGTTGCAAAGGTACGAAGGGCGTCGTGATCATGCAACTCGTTCCTTCGATTATATTGCGCGCGGTCCCGTTAAGAACGCGTCGAATCTCAAAAGAAGCCCAGCTTATAATCGATCCTGGCAGCAGTCGTGTCCTAAAGGCATCTTTAACGGTACCGAACGATACTAAAAAGCGGCAGAAATTCTTTCCAGTCATGTCCAATGGTCTCTCGCGCGATATATTGTACACTTATCTAATATTAGGATCGGAGATTGATCCCAACTGCTGCCGTTACTCGTGTTTTTATCGATTATCCCGTTTTAACGAAGTTTCAGTTTTATTACATTGTTTATATCTTATTAATGCGTGTCATTGGCCTGTTATTAGCTAATTTAAGCTAATTTATGATACGTGAACATGTCTGGCCCCTGATGAATCTAACAGAAAGATGCTCGAAACTTCTTCTTTCAATTTTTATACTTTTAACAAGGTTGTAAAGTAAATATAAGAGACATTTTTACGCGTATAAATATGTAAATGAAATTTTTATTGAAATGGATTAGATTAAAATTAAATATTTTATTGGATCTTTCTACTCCTTGAATATGGTTTTTACATTTTTACTTATGCGCGCTTTTAATTTATACATCTTTTAACTTCTAGACTGTCAACAGACATAAATTACTAAACGTGTGGTAATTGGCAATATTCTCATGTCAAAAAAATATCCTCGAAAAAGATATATTTTCGAACGTGCATTCCTGTTTTCACGCGGACTAAATGAAGATGAAAAGAGAAAAAGATCACTTTCTATGTTGCACTGATATGCATCTGGGTCAAGAACGTTGCACCGCTTGACATTTCGCGATCGTGATCGCAGTACCTTCCAGTTTATTCTGCTCGAACTTACCCATTTTTGAATGTGTCAGCGTGTAAGCTTTTAAGGGCGTCGCAAGCAGAAACACGGGTACCCCTGTCTTCACCAAAGAATCCATCCTTCGGTAGACGCGTGCACTGCCCGTCGTGTTATTGTCAGATATCACAGAAAACCATCTTGAAAGGATAAAACGTTAAATATCAATGTGAGAAACTGTTTAATAAAGATACATGGCGTATCTGTCCGATTCTAATATAAACATAATACGGATAAATATTAATAAATTGAATAAATGTTATAAAGCTTTGCTCCCCTCGTGTTTTGACCCTAACAAATTATCATTCATTTAATAAGTGCAAGTAATAAATTCTGTAAAAAAAGAATACTTAGATTAAACTATATAGGTTTTTTGTATCGTGTCTTGTGAAATTTACTCTATAATTATCCAAGATTCTATACGTATATTAACAGATATGTACCTTTTTTTAAAAATAATAAATTTGTTTTAAATTTAAAAAAAAAAGTTTAAATAATAACAGCAATATATAATTTAATTTAGACATAAAGAAAAAAATTTATAGTTGGAATTTTCTCTAACGAGAGAAAGAGAGAGAGAAAGAGAAAGAGCCAAGGCTAAATTTTTGTTGATCATAGCGAGAATGATTGGGACCAGTCGGCGTCTGTCGAAACAGCAATACGTCCGGGGCGGACTAAAAAACATATCTATCTGGAAGGAAGGAACTATGTGCTTCTTTCTGAGGTTTCAGCCAGCTCGTAAAAAAAAACCCGTCAAATTGCGAACAGGCAATTTTAGCTGCGCGGGTTGTGGCGGAGACACAGTAGCCGAATGGTCGGTCGACTGATCGAAGGTCAATGGGTTCTTTTGCTCGTCGCTAATTGATTTAAGAATGCCGTCCCGATATACGAGCGCACGTCTCGAATCCCGGCCCTTAAGGACGCGCGGATCGCTCGCTCTGGAATGCCATAGAAAGACATAATATTGAAATATTATGATAGAATCAATTCAATCTTTTAGGAAATTCTTTCAAATGCAAATAAACATTTTGGATTTATATAAATATAATGTATAACTTATTTAATAATGTGAATAGGAGTGTAATTTGTGCAGAAAGCAATTTTTCGCAAGCATTTCATTCGTAAACTAACATTGTGATGTTACGATTATTTACGATTAACTCGGTATAATTGTCGTTTAATTAAGTGTAAAATAATAATAACGCAACTCACACATCATTTAATGAATTTAAATGGAATTTATTACAAAATAAACGATATATAATACATCGATCGTTTGTGCGTGAGTCAAAATAACGCACTCCGAATGTATAGTATACAAACCGGGTGAGAAAGATGCAGCTATATATTTTTTTTTATATCGGCTGTTTCACTCTCTTTCTTTACTGTTCGATGATTAAGCATGTAATAAGATATTTAATTTCCGCTCAGAAAAAGAGGAAAAGAATACAACAATAACAATAACAACAAAGCATTGATTGCATAAATATATTCTCGAAGAATCTAATATATAATCTATTTTTTCTCTCCAGTTTATAATGAAATATATTTGTACTAATTTTGATCGAACTTTGTTCTTTTTATTGTACTAGCACAACACAACGCGCGCTTCGCGCGCGCTATTTATCCTTTTTCATTAAACATTTTTAACGATATATACACAAAATAACTGTCAAAATATGCAATGACAGCCGCTAACGAAGTAAGCGCAATGACAGAACCAATCAGCATCGCGGAAAAGCGACAACAATACACTTCGAGACTTTCGAATATCGACTTTACATGCTTTTTTTAGATAGGAGGACTGTATATTGCATTATATTCAACTGCACTTGATCGATATCTTTTTGTAGGACGATCGATATACTTGAATGCCTGTAATAATAGCATAAGACATGTGAATATAGCTCGTGTATAGGTGTAAGAGAGAAAGAGAGAAAGAGAAATAGATTTAAATAGTAGAACATATAGAACTTGAATAAATATGTAAAGAGTTCTATTAAAAATTTTCCAAGATTAACGATAAAATAAAGTAAAAAATAAGTAGATAAAGGCTGTGGTCGGGAAGACGCTAGAAATGCTTCGAAGCATAGCATTGACCAATCAGAATAAATAAATCTTTACTCTTTTTGTCCTGATGATTGGTCAATCAAACGCTTCGAAGCATTTCTAGCGTCTTATCGACCACAACCAATGTAAAAGATAAGTAAAAAATACTATATTATAAAATAACATAGAGAATGAGCTTTCACTTAGTATATATAAAAAGAATTTATTTTTTCCTACATTTACAATTATGCTAGAGATTATATCCCGCGTAAAACTTAAATGTCTACGTTATACAATTTAAAGATTCAATATGCTAACAAAAGCTTCTTTATATTTTATTTTATTTAATAATAATATCCATTTATGCCTAATTTCATCACTCGTGCATGTAGCCAAATGTAAGCTAGTATTTCTTGATATCAAATGTTATAGATTAATTAACATTAATCTATGTTTCTGTACAAAACAGATAATCAATTGATATATGTCAATGTTTTTGTATTCGACAATGTTCGATAATGTCAATATATTTTTTTTTACATTATATACCCCGATCACAACTATACAATTAATTATTAAAAATAAATACTGAAAAATAATCGCGTGCTCCGCAATACGTTAATTTTATCGAATCGATTGCTTAAGTCTGGACGCAACCGATTTTATATCGCTAGGTTCTTTCTTCTTCTGCGGATCCATTTGGAAGCACTTCCATAGCCTCAACGTTTCATCAGCACCGGCACTAAGCACCGTGCTTCCGTCCGGAGACATAGCCAAGTGCAAGACACGACTGGTGTGCCCTATAAGGTCCGCGACTTTTGTCATTGACGGGTATTTCCAAATTGTCAATTGATTTTGTGCATATCCATGCCCTGAGATGATCTCTTTGTAATTTGAAGACCACAATAGAGCACAGACCTGAGATTTTGTATCTATTGTATTTAAACAAGCACCTGCAACAAATAAAAAATCAAATTAATTTATATTTTTCTCATAAACTCTATTAATTATCTTGTTTTATATATGTATCATTAATTATATTTCATTTACACATTAGTATATCTCTGTTAGATTTACTATATATTAATTTATTATAATCCACAAAATGTGCTTTTTCTATAGCTTGCCTGTATTGACATTCCAAAATCTAATAGTCCGGTCAGCGGTGCCGCCACCACTTGCGAGTACGTTGTTTTGCCAGGGGCACCAAGCGAGCGCCTTTACAGCAGCTTGATGCTGGTTGAACGAATAAATAGGTTGAGAATGATTTCGCCCGTTGATTGACGGCCAGATTTGCAGCATGTTGTCGTTGCCACCGCTGGCCAAATACTGTCCGTCGAATGACCATTTCAGGCCGCATACTTCCTGAGCGTGTGCGTTTATAGTCGAGAGCAAATGATCCCGTTGTCTGACATCATGATGCACTATTTTACCTAATCTTTGAAACAATAAAATTATTAGTTTTCATTATATAAAATCAGATTTAGCTTTACAGTTTTAATTTCAATTTCAATTATAATTTACTTCCATTTTTTTAATGATTTACAATTTTCTAAGAGAATGAATATACTTAATCTTAAATTTTCTTCATGTTTATCAACATAATTGATGATTTTACAAAATCATTGTTGATTTATATAAAAATCGATTAATTACTTATGGAAATTTGTTATCTCATGTATTCTATCTATACTACCTCGATCCACTTGTCAATATATGATTGTTCCAGGCGAGAGAGCCGACTCTGGATGTGTGCCCATTCATAACGCGAATTCTCCTCATTTGACTACAATCCCATAATTCTGTATTTCCTTCTGTGGTACCCACTGCTAGACATGGACCTTCCTGAATCCACGCAACGGAACATACATAGTCGTTCGCATCCAATTCGAATAATTGTTCTATAGTTCCAGTCCCAGCATTCCACAAATATACATTAGTACCCAATCCCACAGCCAAGATATTAGAGTTTGACCAGTCCACCAAATTTAAATCTATAAGACATTAAATTTTTTTTATTCTTTAATTCTTTTTTGTATTAGATAAGAAAATGTTAAATTAAACTACTCACAATAATCATCGATGATTTCTGGCGCATCCAATATCCTGTCAGCAGCTTGCGGTATATATCTTGTGGAAGCTCTAACACTAGCTGGTGTTTTAGTTTGACTATACAAAACTTTGAGAGGATTTTGATATCCCTCCGGTGGCGCTGGTGCTTTGACCTGATAAGATAAAACTCTCATATTATTTATATCACCACCATGCAGATTCTCTCCCATGAGACGCTGCATCTCTCGTTTTGTAGGACTCATGTTGTTTGCTTTATCTCCATCCTGTTCTGCATTTTGTTGCTGAAGAATCTAAAATATAAAAATGTATTCAGATATTTCAAAATTTAATCATTAAATACTTTCTTATATCTATCTAATCTAACCTTATAATGGCTCAATTCAAAATTGGTTGTAGATCTTGAAGGAATAAATCTATCACCACCATTGGGTGTTTTAGCTGGAGTGACACGACCTGTATTATTAAAAATAAAATTAAAAGATCTTATTCTGTATTTACTGCTTATAGATATTATCTTACTTGGAGATTTCTTTGTGCCTTTAGAGGGAGTTTTCTTGGTCTTGCCATCGCTCCTTTTCGTCGGGGTTTTTCCTGATACGCTACTTGTGAAAGAACTACTTGTGAGACCTTTCTTTGATGAATTCAAACTAAGATTGATACTGAAACATATACAATATATTGAAATAATATTCATTATTGAATATAGTCAATAATTATTTCCAAACTCGATAAATTTACTCGATATTTGGTTAATGTAAAACATCAATGTACCATCAACGCAGCCACTTTCTTTACCTTAAATTCGATGTCTCCATGCATTTCTTCTGCCATCGCGGTATTGGACCTTTGATAGCTTCGTCCATACGAGTCAGATTGTTGAGTTCTTTCATAAACCTTAGATGCGACATGATTTATAAATGCGAGCGGAGCCTCGAGTGCGCGATGTTATGTCGCTGGAAAAGTTGGCGTTAAAATAGAGCAAAGGTCGCAAAAGATGTCGAGATATATAAAAACATATATTGAATTGAAGAGAATTAACTCGAATACCTTTTTATTACACGTGCTTTTTTCCACCAATGCTCCAAGTATGTATCGGTCAAGGTCGCACAAATTCGATGATTCCAAGGAAATCGCGATGCGAAGCCTCAAACGTGATTTAAATGGACACAGGACAGAGAGAGAGAGAGAGAGAGAGAGAGAGAGAGAGAAAGATATTTAAAAAGACCGTTAACTTTTAAACGCCGCCGATTTCCTGCCGTTTTTTCCTTTTCACAGATGTCGCTAGACACTTCCGCGTGAATTTAAATACCTAATGGCGAATTTGCAATGAACTTGTCCGAATTTCTTTGCGATATGCAGTTTGTGATTGTAATGAGAAATAACCTGAAATAGCCAATATATGTGGTGTACAGTGAGGCTAGGTTAAAATTGATTTCATTCATCAGTTATTTGTATAGCTTGATATAAGTGAAACGATGAAATCAGCCCCCAGGTTTCTACGATAAAGTTTGTAGAATTGCTCGAAATGACAGATTTATTTGACATTGCTAACCTTATCACAACCGTCGGCGTCGACGGCGTCAAGATCAAATCGGAGCCCGGACTACCCGAGAAATCGTCCAACGAAATTCTAACGGAGCTCTTCAGCACTTTCGATGCACCAGACGATGGCGAGAGAGAGAGAAAGATATTTAAAAAGACCGTTAACTTTTAAACGCCGCCGATTTCCTGCCGTTTTTTCCTTTTCACAGATGTCGCTAGACACTTCCGCGTGAATTTAAATACCTAATGGCGAATTTGCAATGAACTTGTCCGAATTTCTTTGCGATATGCAGTTTGTGATTGTAATGAGAAATAACCTGAAATAGCCAATATATATGGTGTACAGTGAGGCTAGGTTAAAATTGATTTCATTCATCAGTTATTTGTATAGCTTGATATAAGTGAAACGATGAAATCAGCCCCCAGGTTTCTACGATAAAGTTTGTAGAATTGCTCGAAATGACAGATTTATTTGACATTGCTAACCTTATCACAACCGTCGGCGTCGACGGCGTCAAGATCAAATCGGAGCCCGGACTACCCGAGAAATCGTCCAACGAAATTCTAACGGAGCTCTTCAGCACTTTCGATGCACCAGACGATGGCGTCGCGTCACCCGAGAACAGCGATCAGCAAATACTGAATGGCAATGTCAAATCCGCTAAGTTGGATAAACTTCAAGCGAAAAAGAAAAAAATCAAAAAGAAACATAAGCATAAGGAGAAGAAGCACAAGAAGAGATCGAGACATAATTCCTCGGACAGTAACAGCGATGTAGAAGGTAATAATAATACGTGTACTATTCAGTATTATATATACATTTGATACTATACATATCGCTGTAACTGTGTATCACTGTTTTAATTAGGCGTGAAGAAAAAAAAGAAACATAAGAAAAAATCCAAACGAAGACGTGAATCTGTTTCGAGCAAGTCGTCAGATTCAGGTCAGACCAGAGCCAAATTGACAAAATTGGATGATGACAATCTTGGAATTGTAAAAGACTGCGAATCAAAGTTATTTGACATTATGTCAGAAAAAGATAGCATGAATGATGTAACAAAATTTGAGGACCAACTGTGTACGAACAAGGATTCAGATATTATTGACAAAATTGTAGATGGTTCTGCTAGTCCCCTATTACCATCTATATCGAAAAAAACAGATGATGAATCTGATGAGCCAATAATACCTAAAGTTCTTGGTTTGTACTTGTTAATTTGTTAATAATTCCCACTGTCGATAGTATTATCTACAAAAATTGAATTTTAAAATAATTTATAATAATGATAAAGTAAGAATATTAAAATAAAAACATATAATATAAATATATCTTTTCATAAATAGAAAAGCAGTCTTCTCAAGGAAAAATATTAATAAAGGATCTCAAGAACAGTACTGTTTATAATGAAACAGTTAAAGCGATAGAAAATAAGCAAAAAGCGAAAGCTGCAAGAATGGAAGATGGCGAGTTGTCTGATAGCAGTAGCGACGATAATAGGACACCTACTTTAAGTCCTACTCCACCTCAAGGCAGATCACCATCATTCAGCCCAAGTAGAGAAAGGATGAGAAACAAAATGTTTAGTCCATCGAGAAAATCAATCCCTTCAAAAACTGATCTTAGATTGGTTTTGAGAGAGAAGGAGAAGAAAAGGTGAGAAATAATTAAAAAATAAGATTATAACAATAATCACAAGAATAATTTCAATTACAGAGGCGTAAGAGAGAAAGATAGTAAAAGAAGTAGGAGTTGTCATTCTCAAGATAGAAAACGATCGAGATCACGAACGCGACATGATTTGCATCGCAGTAGGAGTGGTGGAAGAGAAAAACAGAGAGGTAGAAGCAGAGAAAGGCGTGACAGTGACAAAAGTTATGAAAGACGAGACTCGGGCAGGAGCAGAGAAAGGCGCAGACATAGAAGTCGCAGTGAAAACAGAAATAGAGACAAATATACGCGAGGTCGAAGTAGAAGCAGAGAAAGAAAGTTAGAATTGTGTTAAATTATTTGAGAAATAAAGAATATATTATTTGTGTTTCAATCTCGAATTTATATAACATTAAATTTTTATTAGGGAACGAATAGAGATTGATAAGAAAAAGTTGTTAGAAATTGCCAGGAGGAATGCTATAAACATGATTAAACAAGGAACTCTCCCACTAGCCCAGCAAGATAAAGCTATTGCTGCTATACAATCTGGTGGGAAAACAGTAGATGAACTTACAGGTAATTTTTTGTTTTACTTAAATTAAAGTTTTATTATTATAATAATTATTTTAACTATTATATGTCCATTGTATGTGTAATTGGATTACATTTTTCACAGATTTTTGCAAATCATTATCAAAATCTGAAGCATTAGGTGAATTATCTAGTATCTCTTCCGAAGGTGAAGAAAGTGAATCTGAAAAGGGTTTTCATCATCCCTTTCTTTTAAAAGAAAGACCTAGTTCTATTATAATGAATATTAGAGTTAGTATAAATCCATACATGCTGTTTATCACCGATTATTTCATTTCACAAATGTGTACCATCAATACAAAAACTTTATTTCTCTGTTCAGGATGCAAAACAATTGCCAACGAAAACGTTCTTAGAAAAAACAACCGAGACTTCGAATCAGTTACGATTACAATTTCCTGTCTCCAGTGGACAACACCATAGAAGAAGCGGTAAAAACATTTTTAAGATACAGCTTGTAATCTTGTTAAGTACTCTAATGTATCCATGTTATATAATATATCGTTTTCAGAAAACGAATGGGTGCCTGTTACACCAAAGAAACCAGAACCAAAAAAAGTACTTGTACCATCTTCTACGACAAACGAGACACCAGCAATAATGCCACCACCTCCTGTACAACCACCAGAACAACCTCCTCTTTTGCAACCTGCACAAACTGTTTTCCCCTCAATGACAAAAGTAAAATAAAAGAACGCATCACATAAAATATACAATTAACTTGGAATGAAATAGTTTTATATATATATGGACAACTTTTATAATTATAGACTGTGGATATTGGCTCAATAGTGTCTGAAAGACTAGCAGCTATGAGAAAATTAACGGAAAATCCAAATGATATAGGTGCTTTGAATGCAATGCATCGAGCACAAAATGAGGTAAAAAGAACGATATACAGAAACAATATAGAAATTATCATAAAATAGCACAATTCTCATATGAATATTTGTATGTATGTATGTGTATGTGCCAAGCTGTCTATTTATAATATTATAGATGAGAACTTGGGCTGAAAGTAAGCAGATACCAGGTCAGTTTACTGGTAGTACAGGAGTTAGAGTACCCACCCCTGATGAACTTTCCTCAGGTTATCAAGCCTGGGCACGTAAGGTAAAATTATTATTATGTGTTTTATTTTATTTCACGAGAAACTTGTTCCTAAAATCCTAATGCCAGAATCTCCTGATGCATTTTCAAATCAAACATATTTTTTTATTCTGCAAAAATTTCTTCCATATATTTATAACAATGATATTTAATTAAACATGTAATTTTTTAAAGTCTGTTATTATAATTGAAATCATCATTAGAAAAAAAATATTTTACATCATATGATATGTAAATGCATCTTAAATCCATAAAAATTCCCTTTTCTCTCTAAACAATGTGAAACAGGTCTAATATATATTACAGTAATAACAATGTAAATTAAGAGTAAGACTAGACTGCTATGTGTGTTAAGAATTTGGACCTGGCATTGTTTAGTAATACATCATTAACACACTGATATTGCCTGTAACAAGTTTTCAGGCACAGTCTCTGCTAGGATCAATAAAAAGTTAATGTTGATTTTAACGGAGACTGTGTTGTAGGCACAGACTATTTCTTATGTAGAAGTGGATTCTGTGCCTGCATGGACACAGGAGCATTATTATATCAATGCAAATCACAAAGTATGCAGGATTGTAATTTTAGATTAGAATCCTGTGTTAAGTTTATCCCGTTTTAGGAACAAAAGTATTATAAGTAATAAATAAAAAAAAATATACATACTTTATATATTAATCTAAAAAGTATATAACTGATAATAATATTACATCAAATAATGAATTTTTTTTCGATATGCAAGTATTGAGATAATGAGCTCTTGTGAGATTACTGCTAATTATCATCAGCTTCCTACTATAGGATTTCACCTGAAGCCGATATATTGCCTCTTAATCATAAAGCTGGGATATTTAGCATTAGTCTGCATCCACCTGAGGGTTTGTTACAGGCACATAGCTACATCAGAAAAGAAACTACTTCGGCAGCCTGATGCAGAGATTATTATTCGTTTGGTAAGTATTCCTATGCAAGTTGTATAATACAGATTATTGTATTTCCAACATTATACACTACATATATACAGATGACAATTATAAATCACTAAAAAAATATAATGGGATATATCCATTTTTCAACAAGTTTATTTGAAGTGTCATATTTCTCTAATGTGCACGTTCCTTGTACCAGTCATATTGAATGTATTTCAAAGAACGTGGGCTATAACTGTCACAGAATCATGTTTTGATGTTATATATTCATACAATGATGTGACAATGTATGTTATCTTTTACTTCAATGAACTATTTAGGATCAATTAGTATCAGCACAGCCTGTATCGGGTGGAATGGGTATGGCGTTGCTGCAGAAGATGGGTTGGCGACCAGGTGAGGGTCTAGGCAAAAACAAAGAAGGGGCCTTGGAACCGTTGCAGCTAGAAGTTAAATTGGATAAGCGAGGACTAGTCTCCGACCAAGATATCGGACAGAAAGTTGGCAAAGCTGTAAAACCTGTAGTGCCAGCCGTCAAGACATTAGAAGGTATATCTTAAAGCATGTCTGATGATACCTCATAATATATTATTCAAACTTCAAAGAGAGAGAATATGTCTGTATATATTTTTCTTTATGAAAGTAATATCAAGCACTTTTAATAAAAATGCTTTTCAAATTAAATCTAACCATTTGCAACGACTTTATTCCAGGCAAACATCCAGTGTCACTTTTGGGTGAATATTGTTCAAAGAAGAAACTTGGAGCGCCAGTTTACGAGTTATGCTTTGAATGTGGACCAGATCACAGAAAAAATTTCCTCTTCAAAGTGAGTAGTGTTATTACAAAAACTTACTGGTATTTCACATTTTGCAAGAATAGTCGCTTTCCATTTACATCAAAACTCAGATAAATCTCACTTGCGTTCTCTCTCGCTCGCACGTAGCATACATGCGAGTGAGAGAGAACGCAAGTGAGAATTATCTGAGTTTTGATGTAAATGGAAAGCAACAAATATCTACATATTAATTTAATTAATATTGTGTTATTAATATTGTAGGTAAAAGTAAATGGCGTCGAGTATAAGCCGAGTGTTGCGAGCCCTAACAAAAAACAGGCAAAAGCAGAAGCAGCACAGATATGTCTGCAGAGTTTAGGTTTATTACCTTCTTAATATTATGTGCTATAATTATGCAAAGGGACTATAGATCAATCTCATCATTTGACATAATATCTTCATTTTTTGTCAAAAAAGTAACATATAATGTCCTATAAAAAGTAATTTTGTATATTAATATTCCAAGAGTGATTTTGCAAAAAATTAGATAATAACAGTAATTATTTTTAATCTACTATTAAACTTATTAATTTAATGCTCAATGTTCAGACTTTAGTGCAATCAAATATATACATATATAATTATATACAAATCCTACAAATTTTCCAATTATATAGACAAAATTATACAAGTACAGTGCCAAAACAAGATATATTATGAATTGTCCTATTAAAATATTCATTACATCAATATTTCAATAATTATTGTAATATATAATTCACTCTTTCATCTAATTAACTCTTGCACAATCCTATCTAAAGTTTTAGAATTATAGTAAATCAAGTGTCATTATATTATATTCAATATATTTCTATATTGTACAATCGTGATTTATTCTGAATATCAAGCTGTATGTTGTAAATAACATAAAATAGAGTTTAAAAAACTTTGTTATGTATGTGAATTATTTTCTACATAATGTACCATATACTATGGCTGTGTTCCAAAATTTACTGCCAATATTGGAAATCTATAATATATGTTATGTGAACTATAAATTTTCAGTACTGGCAGTGAATTTTGGAACACGACTTATATATTCTTTTTTTTACGATGGGTCTAAGGCCCTGCGCACAATAGAGAAAATATTAGGAACAGGAATAAAATATTAAATATCAAGTGGAGCAATTTGGAATTATTTTACTTCAAACAAGGGAATGGAATGGATTAACGCATAATGAAATTAAAAAATAAAAATTAGAAATAATTAATCCATTCCGTTTCCTTGTTTGAATAAAATGTCTATATATGTATAGATGAACGACGGTTGCTCGACGATTGTGCAACCCATAGACATAGTATATCTAGACCAAGCGTTTGCCTTTATTTAAGAAGTGGGGAAACTCCCACTCTTCAACACTCGGTCTAGATATACTATGTCTATGGGACATACTCTGTTTCGTGCCCCTTGCGTTATCTCTCACTCGCACGTAGCATGGCGAAAGAGAGCGCTATGCTCTGTGCGAGCGAGAGAGAACGCAAGAGGCACGAAACAGAGTATGTCGTTTTCTACGTGCATCTTTACCACCACTCCTTAAATAAAGGCAGAGGCTCGGTCTAGATATACTATGTCTATGGTATGTCCTTTTCTACGTGCACCTCGGCTCCCACTCCTCAATACTCGGTCTAGATATACTATGTCTATGGTATGAATAAACAAGCGATATATCCAACATGGCAGTTCCCCCGGTTTCATTAAATACGCGAAATAAAAAGCACTTTCTGGGTGTACCAGCACCTTTGGGATATGTTGCTGGTGTTGGAAGAGGGTACGTTTTTTTATGTAACATATAATTATAAATAATTGTACAACTACCGAGTATAACTATAGCAATCAAGATGCAAACATATAGTTAACCTCTCTTTCTCTCCGCAGAGCTACAGACAAATTTGGACTACAGCAGCGAAATTGGAAGAGGAAAACGGCAATAAACACATGGTAGAGAAGATCATCGATCGCGCTATATCCTCGTTGAGTGCGAACGGGGTAGAGATCAACAGGGAACATTGGTTCAAGGAAGCAATGGAAGCTGAAAAGGCGGGAGCGGTGCATTGTTGTCAGGTTATCGTCAAGGCTATTATCGGTTTTGGAGTAGAAGAAGAAGATAGAAAGCATACTTGGATGGAAGATTCGGAAACTGTAAGGCATTTTCTATTGTTTATCTATATAATGAAAATGATACATGTGAAAATTAATGTCTATATTGAGAAATATATTTATTTTGTTACAGTGTGCTCAACAAGGGGCATTAGAATGTGCGAGAGCAGTCTACGCGTACGCATTAACGGCATTTCCTAGTAAGAAATCGATTTGGCTGCGCGCGGCTTATTTCGAAAAGACATACGGAACACGAGAATCCTTGGAAGCTTTGTTACAAAGAGCAGTCGCTCATTGTCCGAAGAGTGAAGTGCTCTGGCTGATGGGTGCTAAATCTAAGTGGTTGGCTGTGAGTAGATTTACGTTTAAAATTTTAATTCGAGATAACTCTTTATTAATATTTTTTTCTCCTCTTTTTTTTCCTTTCAGGGTGACGTGCCAGCAGCCAGAGGTATCTTATCTCTCGCGTTTCAAGCCAATCCAAATTCCGAAGAGATTTGGTTGGCAGCAGTGAAGCTCGAATCCGAAAACTCGGAGTACGAGAGAGCGCGACGTTTATTGGCCAAGGCTAGAGCATCCGCTCCGACACCGAGAGTGATGATGAAAAGCGCTAAACTGGAATGGGCTCTTAATAATTTGGATGCGGCGTTGCGTTTACTCAAGGAAGCTCTCGAAGCTTTCGATGATTTTCCTAAACTATGGCTAATGAAAGGTCAAATCGAGGAACAGCAGGGTTATTTAGACAAAGCAATAGAAACATATAATCAAGCGGTGAGTGAATGCTTTTTTTACACTAATTTAATTAAGATACACAAACTTGTAAAAAAAAAATATCATATCTTTTTTTATATATTTATACACACAGATCAAGAAATGTCCAAATTCGATACCTCTATGGCGTCTGCTAGCGCAATTGGAACACAGGAAGAACCAAGTGACCAAGGCACGTTCGGTTTTGGAGAAAGCTCGACTCAAGAACTCTAAAAATGCAGAATTATGGGTAGAGGCTATCCGAAACGAATTAAAAAGCGGCGGCCCACGCGATTTTTCAAATATGCTAATTGCTAAAGCATTACAAGAATGCCCTACATCGGGCCTCCTTTGGGCGGAGGCAATTTTCATGGAACCACGACCTCAACGGAAAACTAAGAGTGTGGATGCTCTTAAAAAATGCGAACATGATCCTCATGTTCTTTTGGCAGTGTCAAAGTGAGTCGACATTTATTTGGAATATATACAAGTTTATATCAAGATTTATAAAGAATATATATGAGAAAAAAAGAGTTGTGAAAATTATACAGATTTTTCTGTTACAGATTATTTTGGTGCGAACGTAAGTTATCAAAATGTAGAGATTGGTTTAATCGAACGGTCAAGATAGACCCGGATTTAGGAGACGCGTGGGCATATTTCTATAAGTTTGAATTATTAAATGGCACCGAAGAACAGCAGGAAGATGTAAAGAAAAGATGTATTGTCGCAGAACCTCATCATGGTGAAAATTGGTGTAAGGTTTCCAAAAATATAGCAAACTGGTGTCTAAATACAGATCAGATTCTAGTAAAAGTTGCAAAAGAGTTACCTATTCCTATATAAGATAAAAATTGCTTTTCACATTTCGACAAATTAAAATGCAATGACAAAGTATTTATTAATGTATATTAGTAACGAGTAAGTCTGTAAATAAAGCTGAAAGAATCGATCAATCTTAAGCCTGCGGCACACGGTACGATTTTTCGTACTGATTTTGTTAATTGATTCGTTGCGTGCTGTTTAGCGAAGTATTCTACATGTTCCAATCATAAGAGTGTTACTGGTTTTGGCTTCACACGTGCAGATTATCTTACATGTTGGGTTAATATTTTAATTATAAAATTTCTAG